CCTGTCTTTTTCATGAGCTAGGGTTGGCTAGGTCAAAGCCACGAAGTGTCCAATTTGATGGGAAAAAGTATCAGAATTCAAATTAGAGATTGAGGATCAGAATGGACATAAAAGATCTGCTAAAACAAAAACCAAAAAAACTCAAACGATTCAATAATACTTGTCTGTATAATCAGATAGGGTTGGCTAGATCAAATGTCAGGGGTGTCCAATTTGATTGGAAAAAGTATGAGCATTCAAATTAGAGATTGAGGATTCGAATGGACAGAAAAGATATGCAAAAACAAGAATAAAAAAACTGAACCGATTCAACAACACCTGTCTGTTCCATGAGTTAAGGTTGGCTAGATCAAAGGCTCGAAGTGTCCAATTTGATTGGAAAAAGTATCATAATTCAAATTAGAGATTGAGGATTGGAATGGACATAAAAGATCTGCTAAAACTAGAACCAAAAAAACTCAAACGGTTTAATAATACCTGTCTGTATAATTAGCTAGGGTTGACTAGATCAAATGTCCGGAGTGTCCCATTTGATTTGAAAAAGTATGAGCATTCAAATTAGAGATCGAGGATTCGAATGGACAGAAAAGATCTGCTAAAACAAGAACGAAAAAAACTGAACCGATTCAACAATACCTGTCTGTACTGTGAGCTAGGGTTGGCCGAATAAAAGGCTAGAAGTGGCCAATATGATTGGAAAAAGTATGAGAAATTGACTATTTGAAACGACCCAAAAGATCCACAAAAACATGAATCTAAAAAACTGAACCGATTCAATCACACTTGTCTGTTCCGTGAGCTAGGGTTGGCTAGCTGAAAGGCAAGGGGCGTCCAATTTGATTTGAAAAAGTATGAGCATTCAAATTAGAGATTGAGGATTCGAATGGACAGAAAAGATCTGCTAAAACAGAACGAAAAAAACTGAACCGATTCAACAATACATGTTTGTACTGTGAACTAGGGTTGGCCGAATAAAAGGCTAGAAGTGGCCAATTTGATTGGAAAAAGCATGAGAAATTGACGATTTGAAACGACCCAAAAGATCCGCAAAAACATGAATCCAAAAAACCGATCCGATTTAATCTCACCTATCTGTTCCGTGAGCTAGGGTTGGCTAGATCGAAGGCAAGGAGTGTCCAATTTGATTGGAAAAATTTGAGAATTCAAGTTAGAGATTGAGGATTCTAATGGACCCAAAAGATCTGCAAAAACAAGAATAAAAAAACTGAACCGTTTCAACAACACTTGTCATTTCCATGAGCTAGGGTTGGCTAGATCAAAGGCACGAAGTGACCAATTTGATTGGAAAAAGTATTAGAATTTAAATTAGAGATTGAGGATCGGACTGGACATAAAAGATCTGCTAAAACAAGAACCAAAAAAACTCAAACTATTCAATAATACTTGTCTGTATAATTTGCTAGGGTTGGCTAGATCAAATGTCAAGGGTGTCTAATTTGGCTGGAAAAAGTATGAGCATTCAAATTAGAGATTGAGGATTCTAATGGACACAAAAGATCTGCAAAAACAAGAATAAAAAACTGAACCGATTCAACAACATCTGTCTGTTCCATGAGTTAGGGTTGGCTAGATCAAAGGCTCGAAGTGTCTAATTTGATTGGAAAAAGTATCATAATTCAAATTAGAGATTGAGGATTGGAATGGACATAAAAGATCTGCTAAAACAAGAACCAAAAAAACTCAGACGGTTTAATAATACCTGTTTGTATAATTAGCTAGGGTTGACTAGATCAAATGCCCGGAGTGTCCCATTTGATTTGAAAAAGTATGAGCATTCAAATTAGAGATTGAGGATTCGATTGGACAGAAAAGATCTGCTAAAACAAGAACGAAAAAACTGAACCGATTCAACAATACCTGTCTGTACTGTGAGCTAGGGTTGGCCGAATAAAAGGCTAGAAGTGGCCAATATGATTGGAAAAAGTATGAGAAATTGATCATTTGAAACGACCCAAAAGATCCACAAAAACATGAATCTAAAAAACTGAACCGATTCAATCACACTTGTCTGTTCCGTGAGCTAGGGTTGGCTAGCTGAAAGGCAAGGGGTGTCCAATTTGATTTGAAAAATTATGAGCATTCAAATTAGAGATCGAGGATTCGAATGGACAGAAAAGATCTGCTAAAATAAGAACGAAAAAAACTGAACTGATTCAACAATACCTGTCTGTACTGTGAGCTAGGGTTGGCCGAATAAAGGCTAGAAGTGGCCAGTTTGATTGGAAAAAGTATGAGAAATTGAAGATTTGAAACGACCCAAAATATCCGCAAAAATATGAATCTAAAAAACTGAACCCAGTCAATCACACTTGTCTGTTCCGTGAGCTAGGGTTGGCTAGCCGAAAGGCAAGGGGTGTCCAATTTGATTTGAAAAAGTATGAGCATTCAAATTAGAGATTGAGGATTCGAATGGACAGAAAAGATATGCTAAAACAAGAACGAAAAAAACTGAACCGATTCAACAATACTTGTCTGTACAGTGAGCTAGGGTTGGTCAAATAAAAGGCTAGAAGTGGCCAATTTGATTGGAAAAAGTAGGAGAAATTGACGATTTTTATCGACCCAAAAGATCTGCAAAAACATGAATCTAAAAAACCGATCCGATTCAATCACACCTATCTGTTCCGTGAGCTAGGGTTGGCTAGATCAAAGGCAAGGAGTGTCCAATTTGATTGGAAAAAGTTTGAGAATTCAAATTAGAGATTGAGGATTCTAATGGACACAAAAGATCTGCAAAAACAATAATCAAAAAACCTGAACCGATTCAACAACACCCGTCTGTTCCATGAGCTAGGGTTGGCTAGATCAAAGGCAGGAAGTCTCCAATTTGATTGGAAAAAGTATCAGAATTCAAATTAGAGATTGAGGATTGGAATGAACATAAAACATCTACTAAAACAAGAACCAAAAAAACGCAAACGATTCAATAATACATGTCTGTATAATTAGCTAGGGTTGGCTAGATCAAATGCCAGGAGTGTCCAATTTGATTGGAAAAAGTATGAGCATTCAAATTAGAGATTGAGGATTCGAATGGACAGAAAAGATGTGCAAAAACAAGCATCAAAAATACTGAACCGATTCAACAACAACTGTTTGTTCCATGAGCAAGGGTTGGCTAGATCAAAGGCTCGAAGTGTCCAATTTGTTTGGAAAAAAGTATCAGAATTCAAATTAGAGATTGCGTATTAGAAAGGACATAAAAGATCTGCTAAAACAAGAACCAAAAAAACTCAAACGATTCAATAATACCTATCTGTATAATTAGCTAGGGTTGGCTAAATCAAATGCCAGGAGTGTCTAATTTGATTTCAAAAAGTATGAGCATTCAAATTAGAGATTGAGGATTCGAATGGACAGAAAAGATCTGCTAAAACAAGAACGAAAAAAACTGAACCGATTCAACAATACTTGTCTGTACTTTGAGCTAGGGTTGGCCGAATAAAAGGCTAGAAGTGGCCAATTTGATTGGAAAAAGTATGAGAAATTGACGATTTGAATCGACCCAAAAGATCCGCAAAAACATGAATCTAAAAAACTAATCCGATTCAATCACACCTATCTGTTCCGTGAGCTAGGGTTGGCTAGATCAAAGGCAAGGAGTGTCCAATTTGATTGGAAAAAGTTTGAGAATTCAAATTAGAGATTGTGGATTGTAATGGAGACAAAAGATCTGCAAAAACAAGAATCAAAAAAACTGAACCGATTCAACAACACCTGTCTGTTCCATGAGCTAGGGTTGGCTAGATCAAAGGCTTGAAGTGTCCAATTTGATTGAAAAAAGTATCAGAATCAAATTAGAGATTGAGGATTGGAATGGACAGAAAAGATCTGCTAGAACAAGAACCAAAAAAACTCAAACGATTGAATAATACCTGTCTGTATAATTGGCTAGTGTTGGCTAGATCAAATGCCAGGAGTGTCCAATTTGATTGGAAAAAGTATGAGCATTAAAATTAGAGATTGAGAATTTGAATGGACAGAAAAGATCTGCTAAAACAAGAACGAAAAAAACTGAACCGATTCAACAATACCTGTCTGTACTGTGAGCTAGGGTTGGCCGAATAAAAGGCTAGAAGTGGCCAATTTGATTGGAAAAAGTATGTGAAATTGACGATTCCAATCAACCCAAAAGAACCGCAAAAACATAAATCTAAAAAACTGAACCAACTGTTGAGACCCCAAAAATCCCCGGTTGGGCCCGAATAAATTCCTGGCCCAAAGTGACACATTATTTAGAAAAGCCCCAATTTGGAGCATGCAAAGATCCGCCATGCACGAATCACACTTCGCGTGCAATGCCAAATAAATAATCCATCGTGCTAGGAATCGAGATTAAGGTTATAAAATGCGTTAGTTCTACAAATTCATGCTAATTATCTCGTCAAGCATCATAATTAAAAAACATGCCAAGCAACATGCCATGCCAAATGGGAAATTGTTATGTCACACCCAACCACGCTACGTACAAGCCTAAGTGGGCCCAAGCCACTCAAAATACCCAGGGCTTACTTGAGTGGGTTCTGTAATCTATACTCGTGCAGGAATCCCCGAAAGAAACTACACAAGTGGCTAAACATTTAACCGAAGACAAAGAACTTCAAACCGAAGAGAATCTGTGTGACACAATAGTTGAAGCAAACGAAAAAATTAAGACTGAACTTTCAAATGACGAGGTCAAATATACAATTGGACTACCCCATCATATTTTTTTCCTGCAGTTATCTATATATTAGAGAAAGTACTAACAAGGGGTATATTAGCAGATCAAGGAGGGTAAGGAACTTCTAAAGGATTCTGAGGCAGACTGTTAGAGAAGAGAGCCATCAAGAAAAAAAAAAAGCAATAGCTGAAGAGTATCAAGTAGAGAAGACCAATGGAAGTTCTGTGATCAGAACAAGCAAAAATCGGGACGAGGTCAGTGAATAGAAAACAAACGTTCTTAAATGCCATTTTAACATAAATCCTCGTAACCTATAATGTTGAATATTTCATCTATAATTCAGTTGCCTGAGGAGAAAGATACAACAGCTAGCAAAGAAGTGCAAACAGAAGAAGAAGAGCACGAAAATGCTGAAGAAGTAAAAACATATGAAAAGACAGGAGAAAATGAACACAAAAATGCAGAGCCAGGCTATGATTCTCCCGTCATTGTAGAAGCCTCTAGAGATGCTGATGCTAAGATTTCACATAAGAAATCCCGTAATATCCTTTCGGGTATCAAGCATTCAATATCCAAGGTGAAGAAAGCCATTACCGGCAAGTCTTCTCATTCAAAGACACAATCAGAAAAATAAATAAATAAAAATCAAAACCAAGTTGGTTCCGACTGTTGAAGAATTGGATGAATACAGGTTTTATGTGGGTGTGCTTGTTCTAAGAGGTTTGAGTATGGTATGTGTGCTTGTGCAGCTTGAATAAGTTCAATATTCTTTATTTGTATAAAGTGAGTTAAAGAATTGCCTGATTGTAAATTTGTAATCTTTTTGCCAATTTCTAGTGCATTCTGTTTAGGCATATATACAAGAAAATGGAGTGTACAGAGCCATTGTGTTCACACTGTGATTATTTGAGTGATATTTTATTTTATTTTTCTAAATTCTAATATCTAAATCTCAAAAAAGAAAATATACCAAGAGATACCATTACTGAAGTTACCTATAAGTTACCAATATGCACATGAATAATAAAAATAAACTAGCTAGCTAGCTAGCTAGGTACTCAATGTATGGTGTGAACCAAACAGTTTGAGTACTGAATAGGCTAGTACGAGGGTGATCATTCGGAACAATAAAACGCTGGATGCTCTTGTTTTTCAAGGAAAACACCCCAAAGTCGCGTCCCATCCACTGTGATGCTAAACAAGGATTATCGAAAGCAAAACAAATACAATTTCCTTCAACTCTCTTCTTATAATCGCCATAACTGAGACTGAGGCTTGTAGCAGCGATGAGCTTGTTGCTTGCCTTGCTCAGGAACAATATCCCTATCACCGCCGAGGTCTTCAACTTCTACCCACTCAGGATCATTGTTGTTACCTTCAAGCTTGAACACTTGAAATCCTTTAGTTTGAGGTGGAATGACATAATTGTGACCTAAGAGGGACTGGGGAATTATTGGATCCTTTTCATAAGCAAAACTAGTGTTATGGAGAATCATAAACAGCTCCTTTGTTGTAGGATCTTTTGCTAAGCGAGGGCTTAACTTTTCGGTAACATACACGACGCCACCGGTAGTGTTAGAGGACAGGGAACGTACTGGCCTTGGATGAAGCATAACCAACTTTTGAGGTGGCCCGCTGTACATATTACCAGGAGGCCCGGTATTGGCATGGCCTTCAGCATGTAACATTTGGAGATCGTACACGATCAAAAACTGTGCTGCATCCCGATTTGCAGCATATCATTTTCCATCAATTATTTCTATATCCAGAGTGGTGAAGCGTGTACCCTCTAGCACTGGCTCAATGAGGGTCCATGATTTATCTGTTGGTCTACAAAGGGCCAAATAAAGGCCTTCCCCACAAAGGCCAGCCACAAGACATGATGAGTTTATTATCTGATGACGATGATGATCATCATCTGATTTTGACCACGAGGACGTCGTTAGCAACGGCAATGAAGAGGCTACCACTTTCTTGAAAAAGAAAGCTCTGGTGCCGTACATGTATGGAATGGTGGATTGTGATGGCAGCATGACCCGAACACCTGAAATTGGGTTCAAGAAGAAGTTGAGGGTAGTATAAGGGTACTTGAGATGATAATCTTGCAAGGCGTGCAAGCAGAATGACCACGGATACAAAAAACCCTCGGGACGCCAAAATTCACTATCAACCATAATCAACCACCCCTCGATGGAACCAACACAATCTCGCCTGCTTATATAATCGTTAGAGCCAAACGACGACGACTTGTGAGTTTTGTTGTCACTTAGACTCAAGAAGTAATGATCTTTGAGAGAGAACGGGTGTGAACGGAGCATGAGCCAGGGAATCTCAAGTTGAGGAACGGGAGGGCAACGCTTAACGGTCTGGCGGCTCTCCAAGAACGGCATACTGCCCCACAGCGGAGATAGTCTGGGAGGCATAGCCGTTGCAGAATCAATTGCATGATTTCTTCTGGGAGTTCATCAGACCACCTGCTTGTAGTAGCGGTACTGATCACTGCTTGAATTGCTCTTCTTATCCTCATCATCACCATTGTGATCTTGTGGCGACTAAAATGTCGGGGGAGAGAAAGCAACAACTTTCTCAACAGGCGGTAGTATGTGAATGTGGACTGAAAAATTCCAAAACCAACTTGTGTCCATTTCAACCTTGTGTTCCTAGAAACTTTTCCAATCGGCATGTTTTCCTGCATGCGTACGTAGGACAACCAAGCAGCCACCAAACTCGTCTCAAGACGGAGGGGCTAGGGGGATGTGCAAGGAGGAAGGAGGGGAGGGAAGAGGAGGAAGAGAGGGATGGAGGGCAGCGACCCTTGGGGGACGGCTAAAAAAACTTTTAAACTTTTCTCTCTTAAATTATTTTCTTTTTAAGGTTTTCTTTTATTTTGTTTTTTTTTTTTTTTTTTTTTTTTTTTTTTTGTGGTGTACAGATTGTTCTTCTTCGAAGTGTATCGAAAGCCCAAATTGAAATAGTTATAAAGTTTGAAACGACTACATAAACATTTAAACCAAATCATGCGTACCATGCAGCGAAGGAAAAATAAAGCTGCATATATATGTCTGTCTAAACCAAAAAATAATAAATAAAAAGAAGAGAGGAATATTTTAATTATTATTTACTTAGTGAATAATTAATATTTTAATATTAATATTTTTTTTAATTCAAAAATATGTGAATTTTGTATGTATTATTGAAAATTTTGTAAAAAAACATGAAAAATAAGTACATACGTGTACAATACGAGTATTAAACGTGAAAATGCTAAATTCTTTATATGGGTAATAACTCTGAAAAAGTAAAAACTCAAAAGAATAAAAAGTCAAAAGAATATAATAGAGACTCAGGTAATGACCTAATAATAATGGATAATGCTCTAAACTAGTATTATCGATAAACAAATCGGGGAAAATAAACTTTATTTTTTAAGTCACATTATCTATGTAAAGAGTATAGGCACGCGGCAGTACTATTTTTATATATATATTTATTTTTTTAAAGTCAAGCTGCCCCGGCTATACGCTTTTTATAATTAAAAAAAAATTCAGAGTATAACCACACGGCGAGACTATTTATAAAATAAAAAAAGACTTGCCAAGCGCTTAGCGCATGTGTTTGCGAAATGTGTATAGCCGCGTGGCTATACTCTACAAATAGAATACTTCAAACATATAGCCACGCGGACATACTCTATAAAAGCATACCCTATTGGCTATACCTATTGAATAGCATAGATAAAATTTCTCTTTTTTAATTGAATAATGCTACTATTATCACATTTGCATACCACATTCTCATACCACCTTATATGGCAGAAGGTCACGATGTGGGCAATCGTTAAGATACACAAGATAGTTCCACTTTCAAATTTTCAAACCTTGTAATTTTTTGGTATTTAAAAAAAAATCAATTTTTTTTCGTTTTTTTATTGCACAAAAATTGTCTGTCGTTGGATTGCTGGAAAAAATCTGATCGGAGAGCCCAGCGCGCGCCACGTGGAAGAGAGCCATTGGCAGAACTATAGCAGAGTGTTCAAATTTTTTTTAACGTTGGAGCGTGTAGCACGCACCAATGTTAAAAAAAATTTGAACACCAGGGCTAACATCAACACCAAAACTCGGGCTGGCAAGCGGGCCAGCCCAGGTTGCTAGGTCCAAATGCTCTAAGTACTGCTCGTGTGTTTAGCGGAAGATAGACCCAAGGAGATCGGTAGGTTTCCTCTCTTATTATTATTTATTATTTATTGGTTTAGACAGACATATATATGCAACTTTATTTTTCCTTCACTGCATGGTAAGCATGAATTGGTTTAAATCTTTATGTAGTCATTTCAAACTTTATAACTATTTTAGTTTGGTGTTTCGATACTCTTCGAAGAACAATCTTGTTGGCTGCCCAAATCTCACGCCCTGGTGCTCAGAGCCGAAGGGATGTGCGTTAACACGTGACGTCCTTCTTTTGGATGCGATGCAGTTGTGTGCGAGCATGCCAGCACGGTCAACCGTGCGTCGAGATGGTGATGAGGTTTGGGTAGAAGATGGTTAAATGATGCGCCTGTTTTGAGTTCGACTCATAATCAAACGATTGTGGCCAAGCGAGGAACTGATCTCAGCCGTCAAGTTCACGGCCTGAGCTACAAGGCCGTTTAGTGGTGGTGTCGGTGGCGGGTTTTAGGCGGTGCTCCGGCGCGTTGCTCAGAGAGTGATGGTCGTATGATATATGGGGTGAATGAAATGATAACAGAGATGGTGCTCCGGCGCCTTGAAAATCAAGGGTCGTATGATATATTGATGAATGGATTTTCCTTACAATCTACCACTACTCCTAGGAAAGCAAATAAAGATATTGAAAGTGCATTACAGGAAAATATAATTTACTCCGTGAGAGGCTTTTGGTTTGATGTTTGAACGCCTTGAATGTAGTCTTGAGCTTAGTATTTATAGGGGGAGTCTTGGAGGGACAATCGAGGCTAAAAAGATCTACGTGGTGGAGCCTGATCGGGGCAAATAGGTAGTCAAGTCGGCATTTGGGATCGTGAAGCATGGTGGTGTGACCCCTATAAATCCCGGTAAATCTCGGCCACCGCCCTGATCGTGGGTTCTGCCCCCTTGGCCGTGGGAACGCATTTAATGCCCTGGTCTAGTGGTTGGTGATCTGACCTTAAATTGTAAGAATACTTGTGAGAATTTTTGCGCCAAACCACTCTGATTTCCATCACCAAATCCTGACTTCAGTCACTTCCCTTCTTCCCTCATGCATTAAATGCTTTTTGCGACTAGTGGGTTTGCTGCGATAGTCAGAGGCATTACTTCATTAAATGGGGCGTGGGACCCTAATGCCACGTGGCGATTTAACCACAGTATCTTCGGTCGTGCCTTTTATGGCCTTCGTCTTCGGCCTATAACACCGCGGTCGCGAGACCGAGAGGATTCTACCTTTGCAACTTTTCTTTTGTTTTCAAAAAGGCAAAATGCCTAATGAAACGGTAGGTGATAGGGCCGAGAGAAAGTCCCTTCAGTCAGTTTATGACCGCTATCCAGTCTCTTCGACGATCCTGACCGAGCTTGTGATTGCAGAAGTTCTCGGCGCGCTGTCGGCCGCTAAAGTGAGTATTTAGATTTTCACCTTGTCATTCTCATGTCCCAGCTAGTTGTTTCCCATTTAAATCTCTTTTTTCATCTTCAGGAGACCACCTCTTCCGATGATCTCGAGGAGTTATACGCCAGCCTCCATGAAGAAGGAGGCAGCTCGGCCTCGGCTCCCTTGGACAAGGATTCCAAGGCCGTCGTTGAAAGGCTCCAAGAGTTCCTATTCTTTGGGGTTCACCAAATGACCACCGCCGAGGCATTCATGGAGTTCAAGTCCTGCTTGGATACGGCCATGGCGTTGGGTCTGCTGGACTCGGCTCAGCTGGATGAGCTACAGGCCAACATGAGGATGACCGAGAGGTGCTCGCTCGAGCAAGAGCTGTCAGTGATAAAAGAACAAGTCCAACCTGCCATGGCCCGTTTGAAGGAAAATGACCTCGTTGTCCAAAGAGAGAATGAGGAACTTGCGCAGGTCAAGGTTCAGATTGCCGAGCTCCAGGCCCGTCGAGATCTCATCCTTCAGCGCCGAGATGGTGCAGTCGCGGTCGGAACCGAGCTGAAGTCTTCTGCCAGGCAAATCCTCAAGGTGCCGACCGAGAAAAATAGGGCACTGGCCAAGAGGAAGTTGATCCAGGCGAGGTAGCAGGCGGATATAGATGGTGGGGACATTGCCTGGAGAATGATAACATGCCTAATCTGGGGGATGTTCAGCGAGAGGGGTTAGGTGGGTGGCCGTTTAAAGATCTTGGGATGTAATAATTAAACATTTTCTTCTTTTTCCACATAGACACATACAAATATACACATATTTTTTGTTTTGATCGGCCATGACTGGCCGTTCTTTTTTCTTTTGTAAGACAAATGATCTCTTAATCTAAATACAAAGCGTGGGCCTTCTTCTCTGAATGATTGAATGTATGATGTTCGCTTTATATTGGTCGCACCGTTTGTTTAGCTCACTCGCCTACTTCCCCCTCTTTTTCTTTTTGACTTTTTTGTCGTAGGCCCTCGGTGCCATTTTTTCTTGAACTCACACCGAATTGTAAGTGTCGAGTCTTGACTGTTCTAAATTTTCTAAACTCCGGGGCACGGTTTGCGTGTAGTTCTTTGTCTTTCGCCTAAGTCACTTGAAAACTCGAAGAAATCGAACCTCTAGCTCCATTAGTTTATCAATGTCATGGTCGTAGGTCAAGACATAAGGAGATGTGCCCATGGCCGAGTGTTTTGATGTGCGGCATGCCCAAAAAGCCTTAGGGAGCAAGTCGCGCCAAGTCCTGGGCTTTCCGGGTGGGTATGGCTCAGTATAACTTGGTGCCCCCGGCCGCCTCTGGGCTAAGCCGTCCTTGGTCGTGCGCCGGACATCTTCGATCCGAGGATCCTGAGGGGGCGACTCCAGCTGGGTTGGAAGTGGCCGCTGGACCTGTTGCGCATCGTTCTGCGACTTTATCTACTGGGCCACTTGAACAAGGGGCTCGGCCGTTGCGACCGAGCTGGGCGGCATTAGATAAGAGTCGTAGGTTTGACCAGGGTGCGTATGTGTTGCTGTTGGAATGGCCAGACCATACTGAAGGTGGGAGCCTGACGGAAATAACAACGCTTGTAATGGTGAAACGGTCGGATTGCTCTGACTGGACGGCCACGGTGTGAACTGGGCCAGGATGGGTCTGGACGGCCACGGTGTGAACTGGGCCAAGTTGCTGGACCGCAAAATGCGTGGGGCTGCTTTGCCCCAATGATACGGCCAAAGCATGGAGTGGGCCGTACGCCGTTTTTGCTGGGCAGGTCGGTCCGGGATTTACCCATGTTGGCTGAGATTGCCCCTAGCTATTTGTCGGCGGTTGAGAATGCTGGCCGTAGCCTGACGCTTGGGTGCGGCCAGAGGCGCCGAGGCTGCTGCTTTCGCCGTAGGGCTCAAACATCTCTCACTCTTGGCTTCTCTGTCTGGCTCTGGGAGGCATCGCGGACGACGTTACCGGTATCCTCTCCTGAAAGAGCGTCCGTAGCTCTGAGGAGAATCTGTCCACTGCGGCCATAAAGGATGTCTCTATCCTGTAGGCCTGCTTAGCCATCAGACCCTCCACTACTGCTTGCTCTTCCATGAACTCAGCCGCACGATCTGTCGTTATTGGAACAGTGGCCGAGATTCTAACCGCGTGTTCGGTCTCGGTGATAGTGATTGGTGAGGTGGACTCAGGAGCCTTGGAAGTCATTTCGACTGTTTTGTTTTCGAGCTTTGCCTATGCCCTAGTTTCCACCATGAGTTTTTGACAAGTGTCCCACTAGGCGTGCCAAAAGTGTTGGCTGCGCAAATCTCACGGCCTGGTGCTCCGGGCCGAGGGGATGTGCGTTAACACATGACGTCCTTCTTTTGGATGCGGTACGGTTGTGCGCGGGCGTGCCAACACAGTCTACCGTGCGTCGAGATGGTGATGAGGTTTGGGTAGAAAATGGTTAAATGATGCGCCTGTTTTGAGTTTGACTCCTAATCAAACGATTGTGGCCAAGAGAGGAACTGATCTCGGCCGTCAGGTTCACGACCTGAGCTACAAGGCCGTTTAGTGGCGGTGCTGATGGCGGGTTTTAGGCGGTGCTCCTTCGCATTGCTCAGAGAGCGACGGTCGTATGATATATGGGGTGAATGAGATGATAACAGAGATGGTGCTCCGGCGCCTTGAAAATCAAGGTCGTATGATATATTGATGAATGGATTTTCCTTACAATCTACCACTACTCCTAGGAAAGCAAATAAAGGTATTGAAGGTGCATTACAGGAAAATATAATTTGCTTCGTGGGAGGCTTTTGGTTTGGTGTTTGAACCCCTTGAATGTAGTCTTGAGCTTAGTATTTATAGGGGGAGTCCTAGAGGGACAATCGAGGCTGAAAAGATCTGCGTGATGGAGCCTGATCGGGGCAAGTAGGTAGTCAAGTCGAAATTTGGGATCGTGAAGCATGATGGTGTGACCCCCATAAATCCCGGTAAATCTCAGCCACCGCCCTGATCGTGAGTTCTGCCCCCATTGGCCATGGGAACGCATTTAATGCCCTGGTCTAGTGGTTGGTGATCTGACCTTAAGTTGTAAGAATACTTGTGAGAATTTTTGCGCCTAACCACTCTGATTTCCATCACCAAATCCTGACTTCAGTCACTTCTCTTCTTCCCTCGCGCATTAAATGCTTCTTGCGACTAGTGGGTTTGCTGCGATAGTCAGAGGCATTACTTCATTAAATGGGGAGTAGGACCTTGAGGCCACGTGGCGATTTAACCACAGTATCTTCGGCCGTGCCTTTTACGGCCTTCGTCTTCGGCCTATAATACCGCGGTCGCGAGGCCAAGAGGATTCTGCCTTTGTAGCTTTTCTTTTGTTTTCAGGAAGGCGAAATGCCTAACGAAACGATAGGTGCTAGGGCCGAGAGGAAATCCCTTCAGTCAGTTTATGACCGTGATTTATTAGGCACAAACAAATCTGTACCCACACAACAAAAAAAAACAAAGAAAAAGAAAAAAAAGCTAAACCCTAAGTGAGAAAACCTTAAGAGAGAAAAGTTTTAGCCGTTGTCCCCCAAGGGTCGCTGGCCTCCATCCCTCTCTTCCTACTCTTCCCTCCCCTCCTTCCTCCTTGCAGATCCCTCCTAGTGCCTCCGTCTTGAGATGAGTTTGGTGGCTACTTCAGCAGAGGAGTGCTCTATTTGTGTTGGAACAAACAAATGCCAACTCCATTGATTCATGCAAGTGCACAGCAAACAGTACGGCGGAATTAAGGGCGCATTTCAGCTTGAAAATCAGAAGATTCTGTAACTTGGTTAAACCATATAAAGCTTCGAAGCAAGCAATTGTTGTGGTTGAAGTTTTGAGGGCATGGTATTTGCTTTGGAGGACAAGGGTTCATTCATGTAAACGACCCGAAAGAAGGCTTTCTACCATAGTATAGCCGAGCGGCCATACTATTTTTATTATATAAAAAATCCCGGTATAGCCGACCGGCTATACTATTTATATTTAAAAAGAGGACCCGCCTGGGCCCAGTGCCCATTTCGCCACGTGTAAAACAAGTATAGCCGAGCGGCAATACTATTTTGTAATATAAAAACGTAGTATAGCCGCGCGGCTATACTATTAATAAAAATAAAAAGGGCGCCTGCAGGCGACTAACGCCCGTTTTGCCACGTGTAAAAATAGTATAGCCGCTCGACTATACTATTTATAAATAGGACTGCCTAGCGCTCGCTTCCTCATGTGTAAAGAGAGTATAGCCGATCGGCTATACTATTTATAAAACATATTTATAGAAAACGATCTTAGTAAAGCCGCTCAGCTTTACGCTTTTTTTTTAAAAACAAAAAAGCCCGAGTATAGCCGTGTGGCTATACTATTTACTATATATATATTTTTTTTTAAAGGAGGGCCCTTCGGGCGCTAAGGATATGGTCTGGAGATGCTTGTTCAACTGATGATTCAAGGGAGGTCTTTGTGGAGAAGAGTTAAGGATGAACCATGCAGGGGATCACTTCCATCGTTAGCTTAAGCCGCGATACTCTCGTCTTGATACGCCGCAACATCCATAGACTAAGAAGGGGAAACTGGTGATGATCTTCTGCTACCAAGTTTTAGTGAAAAAGACAGGTTTTAAAATTCCTGCGCCTTCTGATGGGGTATCGTTGTATAATTTTATGCTGCTTTGGTATTTGGTTGCTCTCCCCAAGTCTTGCTTTTTGATTCTTGCTTTAAGGGTCTGTGACATATGTCCAAAATTTTCCTCCATCTGTGGACAAAGTTGGTTGTTTAAGAGATCAATGGATTTCCAGTTTTGAAATGTAAGTCATGATGGAGACAAGTTTTGTTGATCCATTTGATCAGATGTTGACAACAAAGACAAGTTTTGTTTATGTAAATACAAATACAACTGTTTTACATAATATAGCCGCACGGCTATATTATCTGAGAACGCAAAATCTTAATCTTATTTTAGTGAGTAAATAGACTATTTTTCTAAAAACACCATATCATAGCGGTGAGTTATAGTGTAAGATGTCTATATATCTAAGAATGCAATATCTTACCCGTAATTTATTGAGTAAATAGACTATTGTTTCTAAAAACACCATATCTTAAAGGTAATTTATAGTGTAAAGTGCCTTTATATATGAGAACACAACATCTTACCCTTAATTTATTGAGTAAATAGGCTATTTTTCTAAAAACACAATATCTTACCGGTAAGTTTACTGTAAAATGCCTATATATCTAAGAACGCAACATCTTACCCACAATTTGTTGAGTGAATAGACTATTTTTCTAAAAACACCATATCTTACCGATAAGTTATAGTGTAAGATGCCTATATATCCGAGAACGCAATATCTTATCCGTAATTTATTGAGTAAATAGACTATTTTTCTGAAAATACCATATCTTACCAATAAGTTATTGTGTAAGATGCTTATATATTTGAGAATGCAATATCTTACCTGTAATTTATTGTGTAATAGTATATTTTTTTAACAACACAATATCTTACCGGTAAGTTATAGTGTAAAATGCCAATATATCCAAGAACACAACATCTTACCCGTAATTTATTGAGTAAATAGACTATTTTTTCAAAACCACCATATCTTAAAGGTAAGTTATAGTGTAAAGTGCTTATACATCTAAGAACTCAACATCTTAACCGTAATTTATTGAGTAAATAGACTGTTTTTCTAAAAACATCATATCTTACTGGTAAGTTATAGTGTAAAATGTCTATATATCTAAGAACACAACATCTTACCCGTAAATTGATTGAGTAAATAGGCTAGTTTTCCAAAAACACCATATCTTACCGGTAAGTTATAGTGTAAGATGCCTATATATATGAGAGCGCAACATCTTACCTGTAATTTATTGAGTAAATAGACTATGTTTATAAAAACACATATCTTACCAGTAAGTTATAATGTAAAATGCCTATATATCTGAGAATACAACATCTTACCCGTAATTTATTGAGTAAATAGACTATTTTTCCAAAGCCACCATATCTGAAAGGTAAGTTATAGTATAAAGTGCCTATAAATCTGAGAACGCAACATCTTACCCTTAATTTATTGAGTAAATAAACTACTTTTCTAAAAACACAATATCTTACCGGTAAGTTATTGTGTAAAATGTCTATATATCTGAGAACGCAATATCTTTCCCGTAATTTGTTGAGTAAATAGTATGTTTTTTTAACAACACAATATCTTACCGGTAAGTTATAGGGTAAAATTCCAATATATCTAATAACGCAACATCTTACCCATAATTTATTGAGTAAATAGACTATTTTTCCAAAAACATCATATCTTAAAGGTAAGTTATAGTGTAAAGTGCCTATATATTTGAGAACGCAACATCTTACCCTTAATTTATTGAGTAAATAGACTATTTTTCTAAAAACAGCATATCTTTCCAGTAAATGATAGTGTAAAGTCCTTATATATATGAGAACGCAACATCTTACCCGTAATTTATTGATTAAATAGACTATTTTTCCAAAACCACCAAATCTTAAAAGGTAAGCTATAGTGTAAAGTGTCTATATATATGAGAACTCAACATCTTACCTATAATTTATTGAGTAAATAGACTATTTTTCCAAAATTACCAAATCTTAAAGGTAAGTTATAGTGTAAAGTACCTATATATATGAGAACTCAACATCTTACCTGTAATTTATTGAGTAAATAGACTATTTTTCTAAAAACATCATCTCTTACCGGTAAGTTATAATGTAAAATGCTTATATATTTGAGAATGCAACATCTTAAAAATCGTATTTTTCTAAAAACACCATATCGTACCCGTAAGTTATAGTGTGAAGTGCCTATATATCTGAGAACATAATATCTTACACTTATAGCCTATTTTTTCTTAAAACGCAATATCTTACCCCTAAGTTAATGAGTGAAAAACATATATATACATATATAAATATATATATCTGAGAATACAATATCCTACTGGTAATTTGATGAGTGAAAAGCCTATTTTTTTGTAAACTCAATATCTTACTGGTATGTTATAGAGTAAAAATCCTATATATTTGAAAACGCAATAACTTACTGGTATGTGATATAGTGAAATTCCTATATATCTTAGAGCACAATATCTTAGCGGTAATTTAATGAGTGAAAAGCTTTTTTTTTGTTTTTGTTTTAGAAAACATCATATCTTGCCAATAAGTTATAGTGTGAAGTGTCTATATATCTAAGAACTCAATATCTTACCCGTAATGTATTGAGTGAATAGCCTATTTTTTTGAAAACGCAATATCTTACCCCTAAGTTAATGGGTGAAGAGCATATATATCTGAGAACGAAATATCTTACCGGTAAGATATTGGGTAAGTTAAGTTATGGATCCAAACCACTCTCTAAACAAGTCTTTATATGCATTTTTAACATCAAATTGATGTAATGGCCAATCCATATTCGCTACTAGAGACAGTAAAATTCTTATGGTGTTGAACCTGGCTACTAGGCAAAAGGATTATGAAAGTCCACCCCATATTTATGTGTGTATACCTATGCTACTAACATGGCCTTATATCTTTCAATTAAGCCATCAGCTTTAAGCTTCATGGTATAGACCCACCTGGATCCTACTGTTTCTTTCCGTAAGGTAAAGGGACAAGCTCACATATGGCAATCTTTGGCAGAGCTTGCATTTCTTCATTCATGGCATCTTTCCACATTGGATCCTCCATTGCTTCTTTCACACTACTTGGAACAAATATATTGGACAAAAACATTTTCTGGCAATTCATTAGTGTCATCAATTTCAAGGGAAGATAGTACCTAAATGACATCCTCTTATGGCAATTGGTGTGGTACTATAGTAGAAAGATGATCCAAAGTAGGCAAACTCCAAAAAAAGACCCAATTGATGCTCCTGATTTTGGCAGCGCTTAGCAACTGGTCGTTAGGGATGGGTGACCGATCGTAATTTGGGTCTGCTCCTATCTTTTGCTAGGTATGGGTGATCGGTCGTTAGGGGGCAAAATATCCTCCTACGTGAAACTTTCCAAATCCAACTGGTCGCTAGGGATGGGCAACTGGTAGATCTGTATACTGAAGGTTGATGCCAAAGACTGATCAGTTTGAAACTCGTTTGACTGTTCGTTTCATGCTGGACCTTATTTTGTTCTTTTGAATAGTACATTTCGTGTTCCCGAAACACGACATCCATGGACGTAGACACCTTCGAACTTAGTGGGTGATAACATCAGTGCCACTTTTGTTGTAGGGCATAACCAACAAACACACATATTAATGTCCGCGAATCTAATTTACTCCATTGGTAATCATGTAGGTGTACAAACACAACATATCCGAAAACTTGTGGCTTGAGGTTTGGGGAGGGAGGTATATACTACTGATGATTAAGTGTTTGGAAAGGTGTTTGAAAATTGAAGATGCTGGAAAAATACGATTGATAAGATAAGTTGTAGATGTGACCATCTCTCCCCAAAACTACCGAATACTAGCACGACGTGTAAAAGCCTATGAAATTGTAAAATTAAAACTCAATTTCACCTCAACTGCATAAAACTCAATTTCACATCAACATAGCTCAACGCTAGTCATGTATGCAACTTCTTTTATTTTATTGTTAAAAAAATTACGCATTTCAATTTTACCAATTTAATTTAATTCTAATTCAAGACTCAGTAACAAATGCTAGCACAATGTTTGTTCTTGTAGATTGTTGCTCAATTATGAAATTCTGAATTTTAGGCCCAACAAAAAAACCAATTTAATTTTGATCTTACATAAAAACTGAACCAAACCGAACCGAATTGCGCTCACCCCTAATACTAATTTTAGAAGTATATATAGGTTTTAGTCTATGTTTGTACATGAGTCAACGCTAACTTCAACACCCTAGCCCATCGTCAGTAGTGTTGTATTGGCGTCAAGTCAAACTCTTGTTAGCATAAACAATGGAAATAGAATGAATGGCTATGCTCCCATTAATTAGTTGCTCCATCCACCTACCAAATTACCCTGTCAAAGTCTCTCTCGTCCTTGAAATTGAATACAGCCCCGCCCCAACTTCCTCTCCAAAATTCATAACCAGCACAATTCACTCACGGTTGGCTAGTCACACCAATTCTTGTACGCGCCAATCCAACCCAACCCAACCCAATTCAATTCAGACAAAACAATTAACCGAACCAAGTACCAACCATGAACCCGCCGCCGCCGCCACCACCCACACCCAAAAAGGAGGTTCAACTCCACGGCCCACGCCCCTCCCCTCTCAAAGTCAACAAAGAATCGGTCAAGATCAAGAAGCCACCACCACACCCACGCCCAGACCCAAACCCAAACCCAAACCAACATGCAGATGTCGAACAGCGCCAGCCAGTGGTGATCTACACGGTGTCTCCTAAAGTCATCCACGCAACAGTGAGTGAGTTCATGTCCTTAGTCCAACGCCTCACCGGGCCTTCCCCTTCGTCCTCCCCCGGCGACGGCGGACTCTCACCGGCTGCAAGACTCGCCTCCATCCACAAAACAAGCCCCAATTCTTCTTCAATTTCAGATCACAATCGGCCCTTGATGCCCAACATCACTACTTCTTACCACGACGACTTCATGGCAAGTATTTTTAATAATCTTGAAGATCAAGGAAGAGGAGATGAAATGGGTCAGTTTTCGGGCATATTGTCTCCTGCCCCGGCGACTTTGCCGCCCATCATCCCAAATGGGTTTTTCTCTCATCAGCATGACGTCCTTAGCAGTCCATTTCACAGTTGGCAGGGAATTGGAAACAACAACTTCAATTTCATGCCTAGCCCTGGCCCTGCTTCAGCCCCTTTGATTTCTCCAAGTCCTTCTTCGTGGGACCTGTTTAACAATTTCTTAGACTACTTTTAGACCCTTTGCTTTCTCGATCACCTTCAGTTTTCAACAAGTGGCTGCAATGCAATTGGCTGTCCGGTGAGATTTTTTCTAATGTATTGACTCTTGACTCGCTTTCTTTTTGTTTCCTAGTATTTAGCAAGCTTATTAATTTATTTATTACCCAGCTGAGACGATTGGATACGGGGCTCCCCTCTTTGTAATTTTGTAATTCAGATGGTTTATCCCACCGGGAGCCAATATATTAGGGTTTAGGGTTGATTCCTTTCTCAATGTTAAGCTTATCAATGACAATCATGTGTGCAATTTCAGCAGCTTGAGCATTTTTCAATTCATCTGTATGCTTGCATAAAGCACCAACAACAATATTGACAATACAAGTCAATTTAGTGAAAAAGTGCTGAATATGAATAACTTCTCTTGATGATGCAACTAAAGTCAATTATAATCGATGTGCTAAACAATAAACATAGTAAGTATACGAACAATCATTCAGAATCAAAGCTTGTAAAAAAATAAATAAATAACCGGTTATCTTCGATTTCCTATTTTCTTTAAGATATTTGCAAAAAAAAGATTTGATTGGCTATTTCTTTTAATTTTTATTAATTATGTTGGTGGGACCCAAGAGTAACTTAGTCATTTTGCTAAGCATCCGCCATTGCTCCCCCCACGATTTACCGTTGAGCTCTATTTTCTTTTTGGGGTTATTGACCGAAATAGTCTCCCAATTATTGCTCAAGTTTCATTTTAGTCCATGAACTAAAATTTTCATTTCAATAGCCCTCTAACTCTTCATTTAGTATCAAAACGATCCTACCATCAAGGTCTGTCAATTGTTCTGTGAAATTGAGGGGCAAAACTCTCTCTCTCTCTCTCTCTCTCTCTCATCTCTATTCCCTCCCCCCACCCTCACAGCTGCAAATCTTGATTTTGAAGATGTGAGAAGGCTAACCATCTTTATCTTGCTGCATGTCCATTTAAGAGGCTATCAAATATATTCTCAAATAAGAAAATAATGAATGCAGATGAGAAGCAACAAGGATCCACATAATTGAATTTGGTATCCATTATGGTTTTCAATGGCCTTGCCTCATACAAAATCTATATTCTAGGTCTGGTTATCCCAAAGCTTTGGATTACTGGGATTACTATGATTGATCTTCCACAACTAACTCCAAGAAGATGAAGAAAAAGAGGACAAAGAGGTGGGTTGCACAAACCCCACCCCCATAGACAAATCTCATTCCCACCATCAAAATTTTTATTTTATTTTAAGTGAGAGTAGAGAAATCATAAAGAATAGAGAGGTGGAGGGAGGGCGAGGGAGGGAGGAGGAGGGCGAAGCCGGTGGTTGATTTGGGGATGGGGTGACATCTATGAGAACTATGAGAGAATATTTGTTTATGGGAATTTTCTGTGTATTTCTCTCCTTGTAGGAGGTCATATTTATAATACAATGGAGCCTTAGTAGCCAAGTAAATAATAAATTCCTATTTCTATTTACAGTAGGAAATCAAGAATTAAAGTAAATCAAATATAATTATAATGGGAATCCTTAGTGTGTAAGGAAAGACAGTCTATGGTCTACAAGTCATGCCAACACTCCACCTCACGTTGGTGCATAGATATTGCCAATGCCCAATTGGCCCAGTGAATTGTGGAACACTCTACTAGAAATTGCCTTTGTCAAAATATCCGCCAATTAATCCTCGGACTTTACAAAAGGAAACTGAATCACTTTAGCTTCGAGCTTCGGTTTGATATAGTGTCGATCTACCTTAACATGTTTGGTGCGATCATGTTGAACTGGATTCTGTGTAATAGCTATTGCAGCCTTGTTGTCACGAAAGAGATTCATTACAGATGTAGATCTATACCCAAGTTCAGTAAGCAACCTCTTTAACCAAATGAGATCTCAAATTCCTTTGGTCATACCTCTAAATTCGGCTTCTACACTCGATAAGGCAACCACCTTCTGTTTCTTGCTCCTCCATGTAACTAAATTACCTCTCACGAATGTGAAGTAACCATATGTGGATTTCCTATCTGTTATACTTCCTGCCCAATCTGCATATGTGTAACCATCAATATTCATATGACCATGTTTTGAGAACATAAGTCCTTTTCCAGGTGCAGATTTTAAATATCTAAGTATCTGAATAAATGCATTCATGTGGTCTTTACTCGGAGAATGCATAAATTGACTGATGACACTCATTACATAAGCAATATTTGGCCGAGTATGAGACAAGTAGATCAATCTTCCCACTAACCTTTGGTATCTTTCTTTGTTAGTTGGAACTTCCTCCGGGCATTCTTCAAGATGATGATTCTGAACAATAGGAGTGTCTACAGGTTTGCAATCTAGCATTCGTGTGTCTGTCAACAAGTCCAAGACATATTTCCTTTGAGAGAGAAATATGCCTTGTCATGATCGAGCCACCTCAATCCCCAAGAAATATTTTAGTCCACCTAGATTCTTCATCTCAAATTCAGTAGCCAAATAGTCTTGTAGCTGAGATATTTCATGTTTATCATTCCCGGTAATAATCATGTCGTCAACATAGATTATTAAATTTGTTACCTTCCCTTTACGATGTTTCAAGAACATAGTATGATTTGAGTTACTCTGTATGAAACCATTGTTCTTCATTGCCATGGTGAATCGCCTAAACCATGCACGTGGTAACTGTTTCAGTCCATACAACGCCTTTCATAATTTGCACACTGTTCCAATTTGAGTAGTATTATATCCAGGGGAAATGTCCTTATACACCTCCTCTATGAGTTCTCCATGTAGGAAAACATTCTTTACACCAAATTGGTGTAGTGGGCAGTCCAAGTTAGTTGCGAGGGACAATAAGACTCTGACTGTGTTCAATTTTACAACTGGTGCAAAGGTTTCTTCATAATCTACATCATAAGTCTGTGTGTATATCCTTTCACCACAAGTCTTGCCTTGTATCACTCGATAGATTCATCAGTGTTGTGTTTTATGATCCGACAGTCTTTTTTCCTTGTGGTAAAGTTTCCAGTGTCCAAGTTTGATTCTTCTCAATAGCTTTCGTTTCTTTCTTTATATCTTGAACCCACTTAGGATCTTTAAATGCTTCAGCAAACTTGGGTGAGATATGAATAGCAGACAACTGATGCACAAAGGCTTTGAGTGGTTTAGACAGCTTCTCAGTGGATACATGATTCGCAACTAGATACTTTGATGTCTTGCCAATATCAGGTGAATAACGATTTGGTGGCTTTCCACGATTCTGCCTGAAAGGTAATTGGTATCCAATAGATTTATCCTCTAAATTCACAAGTGTAATGGGAGTAGACTTAGGATCTTTAAATGCTTCAGCAAACTTAGTTGAGATATGAATAACAGACAACTGATGCACAAGGGCTTTGAGTGGTTTAGACAGCTTCTCAGTGGATACATGATACACAACTGGATACTTTGATGTCTTGCCAATTTAAGGTGAATAACGATTTGGTGGCTTTCCATGATTCTGCCTGAAAGGTAATCAGTATCTAATAGATTTATCCTCTAAATTCACTAGTGTAGTAGGTGTAGACTTAGGATCTTTAAATGCTTCAGCAAACTTGGTTGGAATATGAATAACAGACAACTAATGCACAAGGGCCTTGAGTGGTTTAGACAATTTCTCAGTGGATATATGATTCGCAACTGGATACTTTGATGTCTTGCCAATATCAAGTGAATAAAGATATGGTGGCTTTCCATGATTTTGCCTGAAAGGTAATTGGTATCCAATAGATTTATCCTCTAAATTCACAAGTATAGTGAGAGTAGTTACCTCAAGGATATTCTTAAGAAATTGGTTTGTTGGTACTATTGAGTTAGAGGAGAGATCTTCATCTCGTTGTTCTGTATTGTATGTAGGTGTGAGACTCGAATTAGAAACATCTTTGCAGGGATTAGGCGAGCCAAGCGATTGATCGCTTTTTGACAGAGAGCAATCTCATGCTCCAGACTCGGGATGATCTATCGTTTCTGTACAGAGGCAAATTTCTTCATTTTCCAAGTTGCTACAGTTCTACTCTTCATTTCGTATCTCCTCATGAAGCCTGGGTGATAGGTCATGGAAGAACATCTCAAATTCCAAAAAGATCACATCCAAAGTGACATATGTGCATCGTGTAGGAGGGTGATAACAACTGTAGCCTTTCTAATGAGTGGCATAACCCATAAAAACACAAAGAAGCACACAAGGATCAAGTTTACTACGTTGATTTTTGTGGAGATGAATGAAGACCACACATCCAAAGATTCAGGGTGTGAGTACAAAAACAAAAGGCAGGGGTCCGTGTTGTGCAAGCGCTTGTAAGGGAGTTTTAAAGGTCAATACACCAGAAGGCATGCGGTAATCAGGTAAACTGCATTGACAATAGCATCATCCCAGCGATGACGAGGACCATGCGAGCCAATCAGAATTGCTCGGACGGTTTCAAGAAGATGTCGATTCTTTCATTCAACAACACCATTTTATTGTGGTGTCTAAGGATAAATCGTCTTATGGATAATTCCATGTTGTTAGAAGTAAGCTTGAAAGTCATGATTGACAAATTCTCCACCATTGTCTAAGCGAAGAATTTGTATTTGAGTATTGAACTGAATTTTCATATTTTTGTGAAAGAACTGAAAACGGGAAAACACTTCATTTTTATTCTTCAGCAAATAAAGCTATGTCATCTGTGTACAATCATTTATGAATATGACAAACCACCGAACGCCAGAATGAGTGGTGATAGATGAAGGTCTCTAGACATCAGAGTAAATTAATGTAAACAAAGAAGTACACTTGTTTGTACTTAACGGATAGGGCATACGGTGACTCTTAACCAAAATACAAGTATCATATGTGAAGTCGGAGTCCTTGAAACTTGAGAATAAATATGGTATAAGATGCTTCATATAACTAAAATTTGCTTTTGTTTGCTATGATAGGGATGCGTCACACTGTTAGCCATGTCGGGACTGAAGTCATCTGCATAATATAGCCCCCATCTCTTGATACCACGACCAAGAATCTCCTTAGTGTGAATATCCTAAAGCAAACAAAAACTCGGGTGAATGAGTACATAACAGTTCAATTGTTCAGTAAGCTGATTAATTGACATCAATTTATTGGATAAAGATTGAACAAGTAAAGTATTAGATAGTGAGAGAGAGGATGAGAGTGAAACAGTGCCAGCCTTTGTCACAAGATAAGTAATTACATTAACGTTAGCAATATAGGTTCATCGAAATTGGGTAGTATTTAGAAAATCATCAAGATCAAATGTCATATGATCAGTTGCACTGGAATCAATTATCCAGCTCCTGAAATCACTCTTATCTAAAGTATGGAATGCATGACTAGTATCATTACAGGTCATATCAGGTTGTGTCTGATCTTTGAGAGTAGCCCACGATTCAGGGTAGCCATGCAATTTAAAACAAGTCTCACGAGTGTGTCTCGAATCACCACAATATGCATAATCTCGTCCATATGTCAAGGTCATTAGTTGGGAAGTCATAATTTGTGCTGCGGAAGATGTATAAGATACAAGTTTAGTAGGAATTCGGATCGGGATATGAGCCTAAGTCGGGGTTAGAGTCGTAGTCGAAGTCGGGATCTGGGTTTGAATCATATAGACAGATTAGGGGACGGGGTAGTTATTGGAGTCGGGGTCGTCGTCATTGTAGTCGGGGTCTGGGTTGTCATCGTAGTCGGGGTCAGAGTCTAGGGTTTAGGGTTTAAGGTTTGGGGTCATGAAAGATCCTAAATCAGGATCCGGTTTGGGGTTGAAGTCTGCATCTGTAGAAGTTGAGCCACCTGGGCACTCAACTCGGCTATGGTTGGTTGAGAACGAAAAAGGAATCAGTGGTGCTACCTCTATGAGGGTTGAAAAAATCATCAACTCCCATAGCGACAACAAGGGTTTGAAACTAGAGTCAGTAATTTCAAGATCGCTACTCATGTTAAATTCAGAGAGATGGGCCAGTGGCCCACTACTAACAACATTGATATTGTCCCCAGTAGGTGTGAGATTTTATCACAAAAGGCCTTGGTGTTATAGTAGTAGAACCATTCATTATATTTTGTATTTTATTTAGTCAAGTTTCCTATGTGTGACTCATATTCTTCAACAAGCCCCTTCACGTGGAACCACCACATAGTAAGCCACATGTAGAGGCAAGTCCACATCGGAGTCAAACATTCAAGCCCAACACGCGAGCACCACGTATTAAATAAGGGTAAACATTCAAGCCCAACATGTGAGCACCACATATTAGGTCAGGGGTAAGGGTAAAGGCCTAGTAATTCAGGCCCAATCAACACCCTCTAATACCATGTCAAACAAAGTAAGGCAAATTTTCAGTTATATTCACATATTCTCATATCTTTATTCTTCTCCAATGTGGAAATATTTATAAAGAAGTACAACCCTAAATAAAATAGGAAATAAAACCAAATTACAATAGAAATAAATAAATTACAATAGGAAATAACTCTCAATTATAATAGGACTAGATAAATGGGTAAGTAACCAAAATCCTAACATAGTAAGGACCTGCCAACACTCCCCCTCAAGTTGGGGCAAAGATATTTCACATGCCCAACTTGACAAGTTCGATCATATCAATTTTAGCTAATTTTCCTTGTGAGTTAGGTATTAGTCATGAGTTAGGTAACCCAATTTTCCTTGTGAAGTAGCATAAAGTTCGATCATCGAAACCCAAATCGTATAGTTGGATCCATTCAATTTGAATCCCAAGAGTAGGTTGGTAGACGATTCAGTATAAACCATCGCAATAGGGATAAGAGAAGCAGTAGGTGAAGTAAAATCATAAGCAAGTGAAAAAATAAAGGCATCAACATTTGGCATGGTGATGGATGGTGGGGTGGTGGCAGAGGCAACAATAGCAAGGTAGGCGGCAACGACGGTAGCAAGGTAGACGGCGGCAGCGGGCTAGGATTATAGGCTAGGTGTATAGTGCAATGGAAATAGTTAGTGTTTAGGGTTAGGGTTTTTTTATGTTGTAAAGACAGATCAAAACACAACAACATCATCGGCAATGACCATAACAACGGAAAGTGAAGCAAACAAAGGCAACATTAACAGCAGCAGTAGCATCAATGGCAATAGCAACGGAAAATGACAACAACAAATTCTTTCATATCAATTTTAGCTAATTCACTCAAACACAACTTCTCTTCACTCCCCCTTTCCCCTGGAAGAGAAGGGGTCGTCGGAGTCAAGAAATAGACAATATCTTCATGGGAAAGAGAAATATATCTTTTTCAGTCCCCCTCCTCCTTTTGAAGAGTCACAGAAAACATAGCTACGATACCATGTTAAATTCAGAGAGACGGGCCAGCGGCCCACTACTAACAACACTGATATTGTCCCCAACTTAACCACCTACAAAGCCTAGTAGGTGTAGGGTTTTATCACAAAAGGCCTCGTTGTTATTAGTAGTAGAACCATTCATTATATTTTGTATTGGGTTTTTAACTGTAGACATCCCTGAACTTTGCCCCCAATTGCAATTGGGTCTGTGAACTTTTTTTAAAGCAATTACATCTTGTTGAGGCCCACAAATCCAGGGTTGGGCCCAAATAAATTCTCGGGTCAACGCAATGCCTTATTAAGAAAAAGACCCGATTTGAAGCATGCGGAATTCGTCATGCACGCTTTCACGAGCCACGACCACGTGCCATGCCAAATAAATATGCAATTTATCACACTAAGAATTAAAATGAGCCTATAAAAGGCATTGGCTCTACAAGCTCATACTAATTATTTCGTCAAGCATTATGTCTCTTTTCAAAGACTATAAAATTCAAGCACACCAATTGACATGCCATGCCAAGCAGGAAATCATTATTTCACACATAGCCACGCTACAAGCTTAAGTGGGCCCAAGCCAGGGCTTGTTTGAGTGGGTTGTGGTATGGATGGTAACGAGCTTTCATGGGGCCCATTGATGAGCCAAGAAATGGAAGTTTTGGGCTGCTTGGGAGCCCCAAAACTCAAGTCCATTTCTTAAGCCCAAACACATGGGTTAGCATGAGAGAGGGGAGAAAATGATCCAATGCCTTAGGAGGATATCTAATAGTCTACCATAGCACTTAGACAAATCCAACATCAATAGAATGCCTAAAATCAACAAAGCCTTTTCCAGCAGTTTGACAAAAACCCATCGCACGCTGGAAATAATAGGCCAACGACCCAATATTGCACACGAGCCCAGCCTAGCGACTTGTAGAAAAGTTGGCGCCGTGCTCCATCCTTGTTAAGACTCCAAGATGGTCAAATAGGAAGCCATGACAGAGATCAACAGAAATCCTTGAGTGTAGGAAGAAGAGCCAGCGGACAAAAGCTCCACCTATCTCATTTTCCGGTGCAAGCTCTATTTTGAAAACCAAGGAGAAAAGAAGGAGGAGCTCCACCCCTATGGAGAAAAACCAGCTGTGCCAAAACCTTGGAACCACAAAGAACTCCTTACCCATGCACCTTCGATGGGAGAATTTCACCAAATAGGATTGGGTGGAAAGAAGCAACGAAAAAGGGAGGAAAATGTTAGATGAAATTAGGGTTCTTCAAGCCTATAAAAGAGAGCTTCTTCTACCCAGAAAATCACCATCCAGAGCTTGACCAAGCTTTGTCAAGCATCTGAGAATTTACTCAAGCCACCCAATCTTCATCTTTGTTTGTTTTCTTCTTCCCTTAAGGTAGAAATCGTTCTAATCTTCCTCTGCCCACTGCAAACCCTTGTTCTCTGTAAGAAATTCATGCTTCTCTCTCTCTCAAATTGCTAAACTTGTGAAAGCTTAGCTCCCATGCCACAAGCTCCTCAAGCTAAGCCATTAATTAATTTATCATGTTTATTTGGCTATTGGTGAAAAGAACTTGAGGGTGTTTTTATAAGGTTTCATCAAACCTTTCAAAAACTCTTTTAGGAGCTTGGTTTCTGAACTTAGATACTTGGGGAACTTCTGTTCGTTTTCTTCTTACGGCAACCTAAGCCCATTCGTCAGGCTGCTGGAACAAAAAGACCCCCACACATCCTTTAACTTCACAAGTAGTTCCAATTAGGTCCTGCAATCCAAGTCTATTAATTTGTCCGTCAAAATGAGGGGTAAAAGTGTCCTTTCAAGTTCCAAGAGTCTCCTTCGTTGGATAATCCCGCATGTGAACCTCCATACTCTCCGTCTCCTTCTCCTCCACATTCACCCCCATCCCCCTCAAGCTCTCCTCCTCCTCAGCGTTGGCCGACATGGCCAAATCCAACAACACCCTCGAAACCACCGCTGGCAACGTGGAGAAGATCGACAAGTTCTTCGGCGAGCCGACTGTCTTCGTTATGGAATGAATTGGTTGATGTTTGAGTTGCTGTGGAGGGATTTCTTCAGGTAAATAAATAGACCATGAAGCTAAAATCACACGAGAACTATGACTTCATCTTGTCCTTCTCTATCAACAATTCTTCCATCACCTGATTGGCTCTTGCATATACACCCTACTCTCTACTTTAGCTCGAAATTCAAACATATCAAGTTGAAGATGTGTTATAATATGGGTAGTACTGTACTGATTTTTCTTTATATCCCTGCCCAATACAGATTTGCACTAAGAAATACAGTTCTGCAAAGAAACAGCTTAGGGAAGAACTTAAATTGGATGATGAGATGTTGAGATATGGCTTAGTTTCAACGCTTTTAATTTTCCAAGATGTAGCAGTTAGATGTTGTAGGGTTCCTCTGAAGGAGTTGTTCCTTGTTGAACCTTTTTTTCGGTTCCATAATATGGTTGAATATGGAGATTTGCCCCATTCTTCATATGTTCTCATGTGAATAACAGAAACCCATTGACAGAAACCCCATCTATCACCATGCCAAGATCTAAAAATCTCTCTCTCTCTCTCTCTCTCTCTTCCATCTTGTTCAGCTGGCCATAGTGAAAACTCCAATATACCCCTCACAACAAGAGCACGTGCCATTCACACGGTCAAACTCGATAGATTCTGTTATGGAAAGACCCAATTGGAACTACTTATGAAGTTAAAGGATGTAATTGCCTAAAAAAAAAGTTCACATACCCAATTGCAACTGGGGGCAAAGTTCAGGGACGTCTACCGTTAAAAACCCTTTTGTATTTTATTTAGTCAAGTTTCCGATATGGGACTCATATTCTTCAACAGTTTTGCCCAAAGACAGAGAGTAGAGAGAGATGAAGTCTTTTTAGTTTTTTATTCTTTCAGACAGGTTTTCCCAAAAAAGATAGTTTTGCCACTTGATTTCACGAAATAATTGACAGACTTTGACGATAGGACGGTTTTGATACTAAATGGAGAGTTGAAGGACTATTGAAATGAAAATTTTAGTTTGTAGACCAAAATGTAACTCGAGCAATAGTAGGGGGACCATTTCGGTCAATAACCCTTCTTTTTTAATATGAGAAGGGTTTATTTGATAACCAGTTCTTTTTCATTTTTCAATTTTTTTTTACTTTTTTCTCATTCATTAAATTTACCTCACCATAAATGCACTCCAATTATCAAAATTCAGTATTTGGGACGTCTCGGCTTGGACCTGGCCACTCAATTCTTGTGTTCGGGCATGGACCTAGTCCAAGCCTGGAGACCTCCATATCCAAAATTCATAAAAGAAAATCATTCTAATTCCAAAAAATTCACCGAAAAATACTCTGAAGTCTTTGTAACATGCACTTTCATTCTATGATCTCAAATTCACAATTTGACTCCTAAAAAATTTCATTTCCAAGTACCACATAAAACTGAAAAACTAAAAACTGAAATCAGTTACCAAACAAGTTTTGTTCAGTTTTTCAATTTTTTGAAATCTAAAATTGGTTACCAAACAAGTTTTTTATTTTCAATTTCTTAAAAATGAAAACTGAAAAGTGAAATGGTTATCAAACAACCCTAAATTGACAACATTATGTTGCCAACTGGATTTTTCTTTTTCTTTTTTTCAAATCAAGTAATTTATTTATTTATTTTAACTTCTCTTCTTCTTCGAGTTTTTAGAAAGTTCGAAATACCTAGTTAGCCAACCCCAAAAAGGAGAAATTCTTACGTGAAACGAGAGATAACACTAATTTGTTATCCCCAACAATTCACGGCATGACATGCGTGATAACTTTTATATGTAGCATATTGTGATTGGCTAAAGTAGCACAACAGTATTATCCCTGTTTCATACAAGTTTTTCTGCCCAAAAAGACCTAAAAAGTAGTTGAGTTCATAATAATCTCTTACCCAATCAGCTATAACACCCAAAAAATATCTAAAAAAAGCAGCCAACATAATACCCATTTACCCAATCACTATATTAAAAAAAGGAGCATAAAATATGGAAAGCGGATCCCATGCCTATGAGGTTTCTCCATCACCTCCACTCTATCAGAAAAACTTGTATGGAACGGGAGTAGCACTGTTTTGCTATTCCCAGCCAATCATAGATTCCCACATAGAAAAATCCGAGCAAGTCCGTTGGTCTCCTTTGACTTGTTGACTTTATAATACAATTAAAGGTCCGCATGTCTTAATTTCAATGACCAATAAAATTGTACAATTCTTCTACAACAAAACTGAAGAAGCACAAAATAACAGCAGTCGGATAAAGTCGTATATGACCCAAAAGAGAGCAGAAACTGTCACCGCAAGAGAACCCACCACCATAAGATCAAGACTCGGCAGAGTTGCTTATACTACAACACTCTGTCTTGGTTGGTTAAGAACACAATAACATAATAATTATTGGGTTCGTTTCAAATGCCCCTTGTTTCTGTTCATCACTTCTTTTTTTCTCAGCTTGAATTGTGCAATGGAACAACCCAGACGACAATAAAAGCAAAATATACCCTACATCATCATACAATCACTAGAGACTGAATTGCTTGGATCAACTAACAATGCCATGAAATCTCCAAATCGTTAAAACGCAGCATTCAAAATTTATTTACACCTAAGATGCCAAATATTAATATCCTTTGAGGTCATACTATTCTTCCAATGCTAACTCGAGAATGATTTCGGACTTGTGCTTCCCATTTTTCATATTTAAAGCTTCAGTGGTAAACCATCCTCAACATAACCTCCACCAGAGCAAATGAAAACCACCCCTCTTGTCCTCGTCGCAGTAGAATTCCATGTTGCTCCAATCAATGTGCCGACCTTCTCTCCCATTATGGCTTTTGAGATGTTACCAGGTTTGCTTAGATTGAACACAGCAACTGCATCATACGAAAGAATCAATAAGAGCCTGTTGAACATGGTAATAAGTTTGGATATTACAAATACCAAGATCAAGCTGAATGGCATTAGGTAAAAAAGATAAAAGGAAAAGAACTGAAAAGAAAAAATTATATATATTTTGGATACTTGTCTAAACATTCCAGTAATGTAATTAAAAAAATTAAAATAAATAAATAAATAAAACATACCAGGAATGTTGTTTTCCTGACATAAAGTAATGGCAGTCATGTCCATCACTGAAAGATCTTTGGACATCACCTCCTCATATGTTAGATTATCAAGAAGACGGGCATTTGGGCTACACCTTGGATTGTCGTCGTAAACCCCATCAACATTTGTAGCTTTCAGTACAACCTCTGCATTGACTAGATCAACAAGAAAATGAAAGACAGTTTGAAACAAAGAATATAGTTCGTGAACTTACCAAGATTTCTAGTTTTGAACACAACCTCTACATTGAATGAAATATAATAAAAATTGAAGCAAAGAAAATAGTTACTTAATTGACCTTTTCCATCAAAGATAAGTTGAAATTCAGCAATCAGGATTATATGGTGCCACAGTCAAGACAGTGTTAGAACAAACTTGGTATATTAGTAACTTCGGGCAAATTTTGAAATTTTTTGAAACATGCTATATAAATGATTTTGAACCACATTGGTTTGCCTCACTATGATAGATACCATGAAGTCTCATTAAACCAAGGCAGCACTCAAACACAAAAGATTCAACTTACTTTCTGCACCACGAAGTGCTGCAGCAGTATCTGTGGTAAAGAATGGATTTCCAGTTCCTGCTGCAAAGATCACTACCCTCCCTTTCTCCAAATGCCTCACAGCCCTTCGACAGATGTAAGGCTCTGCAACCTCAGACATACAAAACGCAGTCTGCACTCGAGTAGGGATGCCTATACTTTCCATTGTTGCTTGAAGAAATATTGAATTCATGACAGTTGCCAACATCCTATAAAATTGAATGTAAACAGTAAATAGAAAATAAAAGAGGAGAAATATGCATACTTCAAAGAAAGTTTCTAAGCTTAAAAAATATAATACTCCCTCCAAACCCCAATTTTCATGTCATATAAGGCAAATATTGCTCAACTTTCCCATACGAACCACTACCCATTTCCTTTCATCCGACATTTTAAAGTTGGAAATGGTAAATATTGGGAAATTCAAGTTAAAATAGTGAGTGAAGGGAGTATTGTGGTCTACTAAGTGGTGCTAATTACAATATAGCCCACATTTTGTACAGGTCCTACAAGCATTGCTAAATGACTAGTAACAAAGTTCCTGTTTCTATCTTCTTTAGTGTTACAAAACAAAAGTATCTGGTACAATCTGGGGAGAGAGAGAGAGAGAGAGAGAGAGAGAGAGAGAGAGAGAGCATATGGATGAAAAAGCACTAAGGTCCAAAACTTCAAAAAATAGCATTTTGCATCTACAACTTCATTTTAATTTTATGCTTCTGATATAACATATTCTGTTAGATTGAAAGATCAACTACTCAAGAATCAAATTATCCCAAGTCCACAATACATGAAATGGACAAGCTTCAGATAAGTAATCACCCAATCACACTGCAAATTATAAACATGTGAAAACACAACTGCATAATACCAAAAATCCTGACAGGTGAGATCAGACAACATTCAGACAATCCCGATAAAAGGAATTACCCAATGTAATCAGCAGATGATCGGTCCAGACCGCTGCTTCCAGCCCAGGAAGATCCATGGAAGATATTTCCCCACCAACCACAATTGCAACCTGAAATATTTTACTAAGATAACTAACACATATCCAGATGCCAATAAACTACGTTTTTGGATTTCATAAGCTCCCTGAATCTCATTAGTACAATCTGATGAGCTATTTATAAGAATACTAAACCATTGGAACAATTCCAATTCATGCAATGCCAACATTATGCTGGATATTTCAATTAAAAAAGCCTACAATCCAATTCTTCTTATCCTGAATCATTTCCCAGTCTGCATGTTAATCTGTGCATAGATAATTCTGGAATCCCGAAATTTCACTAAGTTTAACTATATAAAACAGTTATTGTAATCATCAACCTCGCATGAAAATAATATCACAAGGAAAATATTAAAATTACTTTTTTGGGTGCGTGTGTACACACCCCTACCTCAAGTATATAAAGAGAATAGGCACTGTAAAATACAGTTCTCTAATGTAAAGCATTGACCGTTACCTCAATGCCAAGACGAGTCACCGATGCAACCTCACTTGCAATTTCCATTGTTACCTAATATTGTAAGGGGAAAAATACTCCTATTTCAGAAACCAAGAAAAGAAGGATAATTATCACAGAATGGTTTAAGAATTTATCAGACCTTTGGGTCAATATTCTGTGTGTGATCTCCAGCAAGTGCTTCTCCGCTTACTTTAAGCAAGACCCTTTGCCATTTATAAGATGTTCCAGACAAGCAATTTCCATTCATTGTCACCCCAAAGGGAGCCAGAGATGGCATTTGAGTATCTGTCAAACGACATGAAGTTAACAAAGTAGAAACTGGAGAAATGGTGTCTAAATTAACAGTAGAAGACTAATACAAGAAGAAAAATCATTGCAATTTTCTCAAAATTCAACATCCAAGAATGCAACATACCCTTAAAGTACTATCCCTGAGTAAAAACAGTTAACAACAGCAATAATTCCTTGAACCGTGGTGAATCATCCAGGGGAAGACGAAGGGTTCAAGCACAGATTGATTATTATATATTTTACAAGATTGGATATCTCACCACAAAATCAAGTATTTATAAGGGAAAAATGCTTGACTAGGTCAGGAGTATGTGCTAGTCAACTAAGGACCCACCCAGTGTAACTGAGATCGCTACAGCCCCTTGCTACTGCAATCCGGATTTAGGACCCAAAACATGGTGCAATCTCACTCTGGATCACTACGAAAAGAAAAATATACAAGAAAATTATCTTTCTATTGGTGAAGTACAAATGTGGTTGAAAAGATATTTAAAGTAACAAAGCAACCCTAATTAGAGTTCTAATGCGTCATGTGGTCCAAAGGAGTGAACTAATTATAACTACCTCCAGCGCACCACATTCTAACTAAAGTAAATTACAATGTAACCATGCTTATATCACATAGAAGATTGGACAACGCCCTATGTAAAATTGATCCACCAGTTGCAAGCCACTTCGTGACTGGCCCAAATATGGTCACCAAGAATCAGAATATTTGAGCATATGAGAACTTGGGAACCATATTCAGACCAATGGTCTGTAATACTTTGTAAATTATCATGCACTAGCAGCATGCAAATTCTACACCACAATAGTAGCTACCATATTTCTAATCACTCCAATACTGGTGATGGATGTGTATAAGATCGTGTGAACATACACATGCCAATCAATCGAAATAACGAGTCCTAGAATGTTCTGAAAGAATACAAATGATGCAAAGGGAAGATGTTTGTAGCTAGTGCTACGAGCCAAGAAAAAACTTCATTCTCTACACACCAACTTAAACGCTGAATGCAAAAATGACAATTCTCATCAACACGCGTGTATGTGAAGAGTAGAGATTCTACGGTCAATTTTCACCTACATTTTCTTTTTGATGAATAAACTCAGATCAGTTGACTAAACCCTACTATTTGCATAGGTAGTACCAAGACTTAGAAGCAATTTTTTAATAGTGGTTGATATACTGTATCATTATGGGTTGGAGCGCCCATGAACATATGCTGCTTAATAATATATTGCTGGATCTGTAATTTCGAGGGGATATTGCAGATTTTGGGTTAGCTAGATTGAAATAGGAGACTCCAGTTGTTTCTAGAGTACGATGAGTGTACATGAATGGTGGGCACCGAGTGTTGGAGGGAAACAAGGAGTTGATGAAGAACAAAAAGTACGGAGCAGAGGATAATGGATATGTGGTTGAGGATAAGGATTGATGTTTAAGGAAAATGGATTCATGGGTCGAGATGGAACAAATGGGCTATGTAATTGGACTGCAATTTAATGGATATTGTGAATAGGATGTTAAGGAGTGACTAAGTAAACTGAAATGATCATTCAAGTAGTGAATTGTCTGGAAATTTTTAGAGTGCTCATGAAACCCAGACATGTAAGAAACAAAAGGAAATAGTCCAGAAAGCTATTCTACCTATAAACACAGTCAAAACACAAAAATAAGCCAGATTACTGAATTGCAGCCCCACAATTCCCATGAATAATGAAGGGTGGAATATCTCTAATGATGCCCAAATATGTACTCTCCCACAACGAAATAGTCTCCTCCTCCACCCTTCCTTCAAAATGAAGCCCAAAAACTACCATTTTTATTGTTCACAACATCCATGGGTGCAATCACATTCGATCTGGGAATATTTACATAACATTGAAATTTAATACAAAATTTAAGGACCAAAGTAATATTAAAGTTCTTCACTTTCACTAACAAACCTTATCAAATTATTGCAACCATTTTATTTCTTTTGCAACTTTTGAAACTTACAGAGCATAAATAAGAATGTTCTAAAAATTAAAGTTATGATTCCCCCACTCAGTCAACCAAAACAATCACAACAATGGGAAAAAAAAGCTTAGTTCAAAAAATTAATAAATGAAATGCGAATGCAGTTGAATTCTGAATGAAAAGGGGCAGGATTAACTGACACAAATACAGTTGAATTCTGAATAATAAAGGGGAAGGATTAACTGACACTAATTCTTTGTACGATTTCTTTTTACTGATCTTGCAGTCGAATTTGATGTTCTAATCATGCTCGTTCAATTTTTCAGTGGGATATATGTAACCATTCATAATTGATGTGGTACTAAACATATACTTATCATAAACATTTTCTTACTATAAATGAACCTACTTTGTCGGATGCTTGCCACATTAGATAAACTTGAAATTAGGTGAACATTAGATATATGATTAAAGCATCGAAAAAAAAATGTTCCTATAAAAGATATTAATCTGTACCACAAAAGTATAATAACTAGCTAAGTTTACACCATTGCTAATTGGTACTGCCCACACTAAAATGATTAATAGTCTCAAGGAACATGGCTTTGAACATAATACAGCCATTCATAAACCATAAACTTACTTCAAAAAATCATAACCACCATCAACTGAGAACCCCAGTCCAATTCCAAGAGTTCCACTTAGACATTTCTACAAACACCTAATACCCCTAGTTCTTTCCAAACTTCACCATAAAACCGGAATTTCGTCACTACCCATTACATCAATCATAGAAGGAAAGTCACTTGTAGTCCCATACCTTACGTTCACAAAGTCAGAACTGGAATCCATTTCAGAAGATGAGCAGTTAACCACCAACCGCCCATGCAAGTGTTGATTACTCGCCAACAAACCATGGTAACGGGAACTCAGAGACGAACATGAAAATGAAGAGGGCAAAGAAGAAGAGGAGAAGGATGAGACGGTATTGAAAGAAAGAATAGGGACAGAGGAGGTGGAAATTGCCATAAAAAAACTGAAATTTTTTTATTTTTTTTATTTTTTTTTTCATTTTCTTGTATATTTTTAAAGTTTCTTTTAGGTCAATAATGTCCTTTTTGTTGTGTTTGTGGGACTCTAATTTAAATGTCTTTTTGACATTTTTAGACATGGGCCCATTTCATCCAAATATTGAGCTGCCTTTGGTGGTGATGGGTTCTGTTTTATCAGAATTCTACTAACATTCTCGATGTCGGTATCATCAGTCTTGCTGAGAGAGGAATTGTGAACTATGTAGCACAGACACTCCATAAGGCTGAAGTATCGGAGTATCTGACACGCGGACACGCCTCAGACACAATTTGGACACGGGTCAATGGTCAAGATATGGTTAATACACTTTTAGACACGATCAATTGAAGTCAAGACACGGCAGGGACCATTTTGGCAATTTTTAAAATAAAAACTAAGGTCACAACATAATTATTGAAACAATTGTGGGCAAATTTGAAATAGTTTTAAAAAGCCCCATCTTTCATTAAAAAAAACCCAGCTTTTCTTCTCTCCCTCTCCACATATTCTTTCTTCTCATCTTATTTTAAAGGGTTATTTATTCAAATAGTCCTCAAACTTGTACCCAATTTACATTTTAGCCCCAAACTAAATTATTCGTTCAAATGGTCCATAAACTCTATATTATTTGGTCCATTGGTCCTACAATTACATTTTGTCAATGTTGCTATCAAATGTAAGGGTAAAATCGTCCATAACCGTCCACAAGTCTGCTCTTAAATGACAAAGGCACCATTTTTATCTACCTTCTTCTTCCTATGTTCCCCAAATTGAAACCTAAGTGCAGACGAAAGAGAAAGGCCTCCTGTACAAGAAGCAGTAAAAGAAGGTTCTCGAATTCGTCACCAAAGTCAACGATATCGACACCATCATTTAACAAGCCGACGAGGCTGATTGCCTTTTCTCCATCAACAACCCAACCCCAAACCTCCTCATAGACTTGGAAGTTTCCCCGCGGGGGGGGGGCCGAGAGAGAGAGAGTCGGTGCCTAAAATATCCATGCCACGGCATAATAGCTCATGTATGTGTATGTGGCTAATCTAATAGTAGGATAAAGAAAGAAAGAAAAGGGCAAATCAAATTTGGGGTTTCATTTCATGGGAAAATGAGCTTCAACAACACACACTCCAGCCAGTCCAGTCCACAAAAGATGACCTTCGTGCTTTTGCGATGCTGTTGTATTTTTAAGTCAAAGTGTTTATTATTCTACTCGATTTTCCCCTTTTTAAATATACCTAAGTACCTTAATTTCACTTTTTTTTTTTTTTTTTTTTTTTTTTTTTTTTTTAGAAATTAAGGACCTGAACTTTTTTTTTGCCAATATGCCCCCCGACGTCAAAATCTGCCACTTCGCACCCATTCTGTTGTCAAGTTGGAGGTTACTTTTGTCATTTCGTGTCTCCGCTCAACTCAACCCAGGCTTCAGCTATCACTTCCTTCTTTTTGGCTCTTTTTTTCCCAAATAAATTTCCCTCCATTTTTCTAACCTCTATTTTTGTACCCTAATAAAAGGGGATCTAGGGTTTAGGAGAAAACCCAATATTACTAGATAAGCAGGTCCTTACCTGGCAGAAGTCATGGAAGTCATGGGTCACAGAGGTGGAATAGGTGAAGAGGGTAGTTCATGGATGGTACCTTCAGTTGTCTGCTACTGTGGGAAGACTGCGAAAATCCAAACATCTTGGACTACTGCACATCCAGGGAGGAGGTTTTACATCTATGAGAGGGTAAGTTTGTAATTGAAATTTGGGTTGCATATTTGAAATTTGGGTTGCCGATTAGAAATTTGGACTCATGCACATCTTTATTTTTTTATTTTTTTTTATGTATCAGTTGTGTTTTGAAAATTTTGTTTCCAATTGCCCAAAAGGTCATATAAGCAAGCGAGCGAACATATGTTTTGCAACACTATCCAACCAAAACATATCCATTCTAGGCTAAGATATCCATTACAAAACATATGTTTCAACACTAATCCAAGCAAAACATATGTGTTCCAACATTAATCCAACCAAAACATTTGTGTTCCAATACTAATCCATTCAAATTAGTATGAGAATCTTAGGACCATATCAGCTACAAATTCATCAAAATCAAATGTGTTCCAAAACATATCCATTACAATACAAAATAAGCAGTCCTAATGTTTTGGTGTTCCAAAAAACCTTTGAGCCCCATGACCACATATGACCCAAATCAGCAAATCTCAACTACACTCTCCATGGCCTTGATCTTTTTGCTAGAGATACATTTTCTGAGTTTGGTTGAGAAGCATGCCCAATTTGATTTCCCTATAAGGTAGCACCAGTTTGAACAAGCTGCCTTGTTTGTTGAAACACTAACTCCCCCTCTTCTCGCCTATTTGAATGACCAAAATTAGCAAATCAGTCAAACTTTGGTTTTAACATTTAGCAAGTCTCAATATTCTCTACTTTAACCACAGCAAATGCGTCAGGGTACATCCCATTATTTGCTTCAATACTAATTGCAGTTAAAATCTATCCTGGATGACTTTCCTTTACATGACAACCATCGAAACCCACAACTGGCCTGCATCTTGTAATAAAGCCCTTCTTCAATGCACCAAAATAGATATATATTCGTTTAAATACTAGGTTCTCCCCTCACAAATTACTCTTGATTAATACAATGCTACCTGGATTGTTTGCTTTCAACTCTTCACAATAATCCCACAATTTTGCATACTGCTCTTCAATACTTCCATATATTCTCTCTTTAGCTATGCTCTTGGCTTTGTAAAACTGGTTTGCAGTGATATCTATGTCATAATTCTTCCTCACTATCTTCATGAAATCTGACATAAACATATTAGGATTATCTCTCAAGTCCTCATCAAACCTTTGAGCAAGCCATGAAAAAGTGGCAAACTTGGTCTGCTGCATCCTTCCACTTACATGCTTAGATTGATATGTCTTGATCCTAGTAGTAGGCTCTATGCCCACATAAGATGCATTTAGCAACCAATCACACTTTACATCCCTCTTTTCTTTACCCTTTTCTTCACCATTTTCTCCATTTTCTTCTCTACCATCCTCTCTAGCATTTCATACACGTTTTTCTCTATTTTTTTCTCCTTTTTTTTTTTCCTTTTTTTTTCCAGCCATTTCTCTACTTCCACACATCACCCTAACCCTATGAGGGTCATTCTTGACCCATCTCAGTGGCCAAGCACTTGAGACTTGAAACTACATAGAATCTTATTACCTCTCTACATTGTTCCATGTTAGCAAACTCCATTGCAATATGAAATACTGGATTAAATAAATTAGACTCCCTTTTGAATTGCTTGAACCTAGGAGCTTTTCTTTTGCAACTAACCTTTTTCAAAACTGTATTTTCATCAACTTCATCTTCCTCTTCTGAAACACTTAGAAGGTCCTCTGAATTGTGGTCATCACTTGGAATATCACCAAGTTCTCTTTGTGGTTCTTCAACAACTTCATCCACTACATGCCTATCAAACCAACTGTCATCTTATGCTCCCTTTTGTTTGTCTTGTTCTTCATATTCACTATCTATGAACTGCATGCGCTCTTCCTCATCATCCTCTCCATCAACATTTACATCTTCTTCCTCATCTAGCTGTTGCTCCTCATCTTCCTTTTGAGTAGCCTCATCTTCATATTCATCATCTACAACATCAGCAATGTTCACATCATCTTGTACGTCTACTTGTATCAATTGTGGTTGAAGCAAATTCTGAAAGTTAAATATAGGTGCACAGGCTTCATTCTCTAACAAGGTGGGTTCTAGCTTTTCTGTGATGTACAAACTTGAACCCTTGATGTAGGTATATCATGCACAAACTCAAGCACATCTAAGTCTCCTTGAATTGCCACATAACCCAATGTTGTGGACATATAGTGATAATCGAGTTTTATGTGGTTGTATCCTAGTGATTCAGTAATATCATATAAGTCTAGGATAGATAACTAATCTGTATTACAGTTGTCTGCCCACTGTAATATACCTCCCACATACTTTCCCTTTTTAAAATACCCCCTATGGTGAATTTCAATAGTAAATAACTATGGATTACCTACAAACAACAAAATTTAATTAACTCAGCAACTTCAATTTAAACCTACCAATCGAATCCAGCCTTTACTAACATCAGCCACACAAAGACAAAGCAAAGCATATCCATTACTTTGGGACCACACTTTTTTCTATTAAAAAAGGAATCTTATAGAAAGGCAAGAAGATAGAAGAATCCAATTCTACCAACAATCTACGGACCACAACCACTTAAACAATGAAAAGAAAGGGAAAGTTGAAGACTTACTATATGTGGGAGCATGCCCACTACTTCGCACTTCGACATGCATCTTTCTTGATCTCCACAAAGTGTTGCTTTGAGATTCCTATGACAACCTCGTCGATTTGTCAAATCTAGCTACTATGCAGCTTGATTTTGTGAAATCCCCAATCCCCCTCCAAAACTTTCGAACCCTATAGTTGTGTGAATGGAGTCTTTGACCAAGCCTTTTTTTTTTGTGTCAAAACTCTGACCTTGCCTCGTTCAACTTAAACTGGATTGACTTGAGTGGAGATGTGAAATGACAAAAGTAACCTCCATCTTGACAGCAGAATGCATGGGAAGTGCCAAATTTTGACACATCGAGGAGCACATTGGCGGGAAAAAAAATGCTTCGGGTCCTTAATTTTCTAAAAAAAATGATAGGAGGCCAATTGAAAGTTAGGTACAAGTTTAGGGAGCAAATCACCAGCTAACCCTTTTTATCAATTATTGAAATCAACTCAACTCTTTGGCCCAAATTGATCTTAATTGGGTGACTTGGGTTGGGTCCAGGCATTCTTTTGGCTCAATGTAGAGAGAGAGAGAGAGAGAGAGAGAGAGAGAGAGAGAGAGAGAGAGATGGGGGTTGGAATTGGAGTGGGGGAGGATAAGATGGGGTGGGGTTGGGTTGTTTTTTTTTTTTTTTTTTTTTTTTTTTTTTTTTTTTTTTATTTTTTTTTTTTATAGTTTTAATTAACTTAAAAAATAAAGAAAATTTTGTATTAATTTTTATTGACATATTTTTTTATTTTTTTAGTTGTCAAAAGTCTTATTTACCCCCATAAATATAGCATGTGCTGCTCACATGACTAAATTTAATAAAAAAAATGTAACGGTATGACCAATTGACTGAATAATAAGGAGTTTATGGACCATTTGAACGAATAATTTAGTTGAGCGACCAAAATGTAAATCGGGTATAAATTTGAGGATCATTGAGTAAATAACCCAATTTTAAATTACTTGAAGTTGAAACATCAATAAATGCTTACGAACTGTTGCAGGTGAAGGCGAAGGACATATTTATTTTATTATTTTTTTCTTAGTTTTATCATATTTATAGTGTTAATTTTTTGTTTAAATATGTTTTTTTGTTCTTTCTGCTATTGTAGCAGAGCTGATAATTTTGGTTAACTAAAGATATTGATAACAATTTGTTCCATTGTAGCGAAGCTGATCATTCATTTTGTTTCTTTTTTTAAATTTTTTTTATACTAAGCCGATTCTTACTATGAGGAGGGAAATCGTTTTATGTGTGAATAAATATGTGTAAAGTGCTTTATTTTGTTTAGGGAAAGATGAGTAATGCTAATTCAAATTAGGCCTCCTCTCATGCTCAATCTTATTTTGTGGTGCATTAGTTATTATGTATAAATGATGAATATGAGTACTTTGTTTTGTTTTATTGTATTATGACATTGAAGTATTGAGTATAATTTTTTTTTAATACAAGTATATTATAATTTTATTAAGATTTATTATTATTTTAATTTGTGTCCCCATGTCCGTGTCCATGCAACATAAATTGTGAGTACTCTAGGTTTGGTTTTAGTGGGATCTCAAGGTCAGCGCTTCATCTTTTTCTATCAAAATATAACAAGAAATTAAGACCATCTACAATTCATGGTAATGTCCCGAGTATCAATTACATGGGCAACATATCCTGCACATCCCTTCTTGAGTAATCATTTAGCCGTTAAGGCAGAAATCAGACAAGATGGGAGAACTTTACGCTCTCCACGAAAAGTTACTTATGGCTGCCCCGGGCTTCGAAGTGTAACCTCCTTCCAGAAACAATCAACAGAAGCATGATGTTTTTCCAACCAAAAGGGCCAAGGATCGAGAGCCCAGCAAGGGCAGGGATCTAATGCCTAGTAAGGGCAGGGTAGTGGTGGTCAGAGTAAGGAACAGAAAGGTGCATCAACTTCAGCTACAAGGTCTTCTTCCAACAGCGAAGTTCAGTCTACTTTCAGAGGTAAGGGTGGTAGGCGCCAGAGAGGTTAAGTGAGGCCTCTGGTGACTCAAGCTCGTGTGTTTTCCATGACCCAGCAGGAGGCGCAGGCCACACCTGATGTTATCATTGGTATGTTACTTGTCTTTGGATACCTTGCACGTGTTTTATTAGATCCAGGGGCCACACACTTATTATTGCAAATAGTTTTGTCCCTTAAGCAAGTGTCAGACCCACACCAATAGACGGAGAGTTTAGCATTGCCTTACCTATTGGGGATGTCCTTTTCGCAAATAGGGTGTTTAGAGGTAGCTTTGTTCAAGTGGGTGATGCGCCACAGAGAAATGACATGGATTTATTAGGGGCATTCCCATTTAAAATGCCCAGTTTCCTGACTCGTCCTCCAATTTGCACATTCTGGGGGTGCATTTCTCTGTGAAAATTCTCTAGCTATGCTAGCCATTGATGATTGACCCACACTTTGAACCCAGGCTGGTCTGGGTCCAGATCTTCCACTCTCAGATCCTGATCCACGTCCCCCAGACCAACCACCTCCGGAAGAACTGGAACTTGACCCCCCTATCTTGGATGGAACCTAACTTGGTCCACCCAAGCTAGTAGTATCCTGGTGACGTCTCGCCATCCCCGATGCTCTAAGTGTCTGTGACACATGATCAGTAGCTTAAGTAGACCTGGCAAACGGGTTTCGGGTCGTGTTTGTGTCAACCCGTTAAGTTAACGGGTTAACATGACACAACCCGTTAAGTTAACGGGTGACAAATCCTAAACCCAAACACGACCCGTTACAATTCGCGAATATCCAACACGACCCGTTAAGAATAAACCAAAAATATATATATACAGGAACAACACGGCTTCTCTACCCAGCAAGCTAACACTGCCTTCTCTGTCCTTTTTCCCCCAAACTCTTTCTGGCTGCTCAAGTCTTGAGAAGTTTCCAGAGATTTCAATCATTATGGAGGAGCTACAAGCGCTTCATTTAGATGGGACTGCAATTAAAGAACTGCCCTCGTCAATTTATAAGAGCAGAAGAGCTAACCCCACTGTAATATGCCATAGTTCACCTCAGGTGCCAGTAGTATATCACAGAAAGCACCAGTTGCTGCCCTAGGTCTTGGCTATGGTGAAAGCATTCAAGGAGCGACGAGATTTCTTGGTGAAAAGCTTTGGTGAACTTTCTGGTGTTAAGATTTCAGAACCCCAGGTACCAGATCTGATAATCCGTTTATTTCCTCTTTATTTTTCTCATTTTCATTTCCCCCTTGTCTGGAGTGTAGCAGTCCTTGACCAAAAAACAGCAAAAGAGAAGAAGAGAATAACGAGAGGAAGAAGAAAAGGAAAAGGGGAAAGAAGAAAAAGACAAAAAGGAAAGAAGAAAACTAAAGAGGAAAAGAGGAAGAGTAAAAGAAAAAATATTTTTTTTGCAAAATTACAAAATAACCTCCTTAACGGGTGGTTAACGGGTTAACGCTTTTTCTACCCGACACGACCCGTTAGCTTAACCAGTGGCTAATGGGTTCACCCGTTTTTAACCCGGCCCATTAAGCTCAACCCAAATACTCATAATTTCATGCGGATTTGTGTCGTGTTAACGGGTCGTGTGCAATATTACCAGGTCTAAGCTTGAGCCATCATTCCCAGAGAAGGATAGGTATTTGCAGTTATCACCATTTGGATCTTAGCCCACAAACCTTCTTCAAACCTTTTACACTTCTCTTATTCATTAGGAACAATCTCTAGACAAAACCTGGACAATTCATTGAACTTGTGTTCATACTCCAATACCAACATAGTCCCCTGTCTCAATCTTAAGAACTCGGCTTGCTTGGCATCACGATAGGAGCGAGGACGAAACTGCCCATAAAACATATTCTGAAAAATCTTCCCAAGTGATAATACTAGGATCAACATAGCCCCTCAGAACTGACTCCCACCAATAAAAAGCATTCCTCTTCAAGAGAAAAGTGGCCAAACGAACCCGGTCTTCCATTGGACACCTCATAACTTCGAAAACTCTCACTAGATCAGTGAGCCAGTAATCAGCTTCCACTAGATTAGCATTGCCTTGGAAATCACGAGCTCCCAAATCCTTAGCTCTCTTGATGTCCAGAGTTTCATTAGGGTGTCTCCCTTGTAGAGCAGTCGCCACAGTACGGGTGAACTGATCCAGCACTTGCTGTAGGTTGGGATCAACCTCACCCACACCCTCTGGATAAGGTGGAGGCGGTGGTGGATGTGGATCACCATCCCTCTGAGGGCGGGTCATCGGTCTCTCACGTCTAGAAGGCATGCTCTAATAGGAAGTAAACAGGAAATCATCAATTCTCAAAAAGCACAAAAGCGTTTGGTCCGAAGGAAAAACAAGAAATTTCATAGGAAATAAATCAGTGACAACCCCTCCACGCATATTAGGACTAACACTCTGATACCAAGTTAACAGGATCCGACCCAAATTCCCCTTGGAATCTGTGTCAAATCCTGCTTCCCTTCCGACACCCATAGGATGCCGGGCCCACTACGTGTTTACGAACTCGTGAGAGTGAGCCCTACAGAACGGCACAACTCAATTCCCTAAAATCCTTTCCAAATTAAAAATGGCCAATTTACCCTTACTTTTAAGGGTAAAAATGTAATTCCATAGTTAAATTCTTAATTTAATAATTATTTTAGATCAATATGTTACAATGAATTTTCAAACGAATTGTACCAATTCCTTATGTTTCACATGGACTGTCATCTCCCATGAAAACAACTCCACCTCTCAACGCCTTAAAGTTAAAGAACCAGTTACTATGAGGACACATATGATGAGTACAACCCATATCCAAAATCCACCTAGTAGAATAATTATCTGATGATGAAGCAATTAAAGCTAGCTCAAAATCACCATTTTCAACCTCTGCAACATTAACTTCAGAACTCATTTTCTCTTTGCCTTTAGCCTTCAATTTTGGGCAATCTTTCTTCCAGTGACCTTTATTATGACATAAAGCACATTCATCTATGTCCAAACTTTTTCTATTTTTAGAATCTCCTCTCGGCCAAGATTGAGACTTCCTCTTGTTAGTAGAAGTCCTTTTCTCTGACGATCTACCTCTAACAACCGAAGCTTCAAAGGAACTATCATGATTTTTGTCTCTATGCCTTACTTCATGATTCATGAAGGCATTTTGACACATCCTCAAACTTCACAGTTTCTTTTCCATACATGATAGTAAGAACAAAATGGTCATAAGACTCGCGCAAATAATTCAACAATCTTAAGGCCTTATCTATTATGTTTCTTATTTAGATCGGTGCACTAGATACTAAGTTATATCAGGTTTTGATAAAAGTTTAAATAGGTTATACCTTGAGGCCTTGGAATAATGAAAGATTTTGAGGCCTATTAAGGGGTCCTATTTATTTCCTTTTTTGCGTGAACCGTTTTGGTGGGCTTGGAAGATTAGTCAAGTTGGCACTCGGTGATGAGTAGAGACGACTTGACCTAGCCCTATATAAGCTTAAGGCCCTACTCTCGTTAGACACGTTCTCTAAACCCTAATCTTATCATAAAGAGATAGCTGAAACAGATTCTGAGAGAGAGCAGACGTCTTAAGCCGTTCCTATTCTTGCTGGGATTGTTATTGTTGCGGTTGAATGAGTTCAGATGTTGTATACTCAAGAAAGATGGCGTCAAGTATGTCTTTACGTATTTCAATTTGTGTGAAAGATCATGAAAACACATATAAAGAAATCTAATAGTTGTATCAGAGCACATGGTTGTTCGCACACACTAAAATCATTTTTCAAGTATGCCTATTACGATTTCTTATATGTTTATGCCATGTTGAGTTTTTGGTTATGTTCAAAATTTGAAGGTGGATTAAAGATGTTTTCTAAATATCAAGAATATTAAAGAATATGGAAAAGAATGTTTAAATTTGATTTTTCATATCTTCAAAACTTTAAATACAATTTTGACCTACCAAATGACCTTAAAACCCTAAAAATGCCCATATGTCACAACAAAGCTATGAGTTGTGTTAATTAGGTCATTCCCTAGTCAGATATTTTGCATAAAAAACGAACACCAAAATACCAAAAACACTGTTCACGGCAGAAGTTACTATTCACTACAATTAAGGGTCTTCTCTCTTGAACTGTATTTGTTTGGTTATTTTCTGAGCTAGATAGGTGTTTATCTTTGTTCTGAGAATCAACAAATTTTTCATAACAAAACCAAACCTAAATACTCAAACCCTAAAGAAATAACCAAAATTGCATCATACCTAAATTACTTGATAAGTTTTTTCAACAAATAGAATCTATCCTGTAATTTGTTTATGATGGCACAAGATAACACGTAATTTGTGTAAGCTATAAGTAATGTCTTGCCACAAAGGTGTGATACTTAATTAAGGAAGCTTGCATATGTTATTTATTAGTTTTGTGAATAAAGTTAAACGGAAAAACTGTTTTCTCTTAACAAATTGATAATCGGTTTCTTGGAAAGTAATTATGCTTTCTTTTGCAAATCCTTACAGCTTTGAACACTCCCTTAATCAATTTCTCACAAACTGAAAGATTCACTAGATCAAACTTCAAAATATGGACATTTGATTTTGAAGTTGTTCTCGGAATGAATGAGATCGTTTATGCTCTCACTCATGATTATATTTAATTCAAGCTAGTCATTTCGCTTATGTATCTTGTAGTGCAACTCCTAGAGCTTAGGGAAAAGGAAAAACATGTGGCGATTAATAGGAGCCACTCGTGTCAACTAATCATGAATGAAATTCTAGTAAAGAATATAGTGGAGCTAATTAAGAAGCGGAACGAAGATGAGCTAGAGCGAAAAAGGGTTAAGGCGCAGTGATGTTGTCGACCTTATGGAGGACGCATAAGGATATACACGGCTACAAAGGACAGTCTCAAAAGTCTCAGGATCGCTATAAAGCTCGGTGTATGCGCTTATGGGAGAGGACAAAACATCAATAAGCTACTTCGATTCAAGAATCTTCTGGTGCAGTTTGTGAAACCTATGCCTCAACCTAAATCACCTATTGAGATTTTCGATACCACCACTAATAGGGAGATAGTGGTACTTGACCCGTTCCCTGCTAGGGAGAACAACACCTTCATGGCAGCACGTTATGACAAGAAGGATTAGATAGCTACCTGTTGATTTCATTAAATACTATTGGAGTAGTTGATTTTAAGTTGGATTCAGGATTTATTTTAGAGTTGGAAATTTAATTTCTGTTTCAAGATATTTTGGATTCAATAAAGATGTTTTTGTATCTCAAAATTCAAAGACATTAAAGATGGATTATACTGTCTCAATTACAATAAAGATGGTAAAGTTTTAATAGCTGAATCGAGTGAGAAAAAGATTAGAAATGAAGGAACATCCAATAGGTTATGGCATGGATGTTTAGGTCACATTTCAAAAGAATGAATGAAAATTCTTGTTAAGGAACAAATCTTGCCATCATTGACTTTTCGTGATGACGAAATTTGTATTGAATATGTTAAAGGAAAACTCACTAACACTAAAAAGAAAGGTGCAACTCACAGTAGTGATCTTTTAGAAATCTTCCACATAGATATTTGTGGACCATTCTCTCATCAAACAATTGATGGAAATCGCTATTTCATCACCTTTATAGATGGCCATTCTCGTTTTGGTGATCTCTATCACATAGCAGAAAAGTCTCAAGCTTTTGAAATGTTCAAAAAATTTCAAACTGAAGTAGAAAGACAACTTGAGAAAAAAAATCAAAATTGTGAGGTTAGGCATAGAGGGTGAATATTATGGATGTTTGATGAAGGAGGAAGACGTGCTGAACCTTTCGCTAGGTATCTACAAGATAATGGAATAGCGCTCAGTACACAACGCCAGGAACTCTGCAACATAATGGTGTGGCTGAATTGATTAGTTGTCATTTTATAGGTTATCCTGCAAGTTCAAAGGGTTTTAGATTTTACTGTCCAAATTATGGTACTTGAATTGTTGAGACTGGTTGTTCAGTATGAAGAACTAGTTGATCAACAACAACAAGAAGAACAAACTACAGAAAACCCACAACAAGAAAATTCACCCAAACCAATACTGTTAAGGAGGTCTGATAAAACAGAAGATCAACAAAAATTTCGGATTATGTGTACTTACATTAAGCAAATTTTAATGTTAGAGATGAGGCTGATCCAACAAGTTTTAAAGAAGTTATGGAGAGTCAGAATGCAGACAAATGGAGGGAAGCAATGTTGAATGAACTCGAAAGCATGAAGAATAATTCAATATGGGAATTAGTTGAACCTCACAACATCCATAAATTGGTAGGCTCGAAATGGGTATTTAAAACGAAAAATGATAAGGATGGAAGAGTCGAAAGATTTAAGGTTAGATTGGTAGCAAAAGGATTCACTCAAAGGAAGGGAATTGACTACACTGAGACGGTTTCTCCAATTTCCACCAAAAATTCTTTCCGCATCATTATGGATTTGGTGGCATCATTATGACCTACTTTTACATCAAATGGATGTAAAAACTGTTTTCCTAAATGGTGAACTCGAACAAGAAAATTTTATGAGGCAACCTGAAAAGTTTGCAAAGGAGGAAAAAGAGCATGTGGTTTGCAAACTTGACAAGGTAATTTATGGACTAAAGCAAGCTAGTAGGAGGTGGTATTTCAAATTCCATCAAGTTGTTTCATCTTATGGTTTTGAAGAGAACATAGTCAATCAATGCATTTATCTGAAGAAGTGTGGGAGCCGATTTATTTTTCTAGGTCTGTATGTCGACGATATACTTTTGGCTACAAATGACCACAATTTACTAAAAGACACTAAGGAGCTACTTTCAAACATTTTTTAGATGAATGATTTGGGAGAAGCTGCTTTCGTGTTAGGCATTTAAATTCAGAGAGACCAAGCTTAAGGCCTCCTAGGCCTGTCACAGAAAACATACATTGAAAGGATACTCAAGCGTTTTGACATGAGTATGCGTCTGGACAAAAAGGTTCCATTAGCTAAAGGAGATTTAAAGAATGAGCATTGCCCCAAGAATAAACAAGAAAAAGATGAGATGAGGAACAAGCCATACACTTCTCAAGTTGGAAGCATTATGTACACACAAGTGTGTACAAGGGCAGACCTAGCCTTGTGCATTAGCAAGATGGGGAGATTTCAGTCAAATCCGGGAATGCAACATTGGATAACTAGAAAGAAGATTCTAAGGTATCTACAGACAACAAAGGCTTATATGTTGATTTACATATGCATAAAGAATTTAGAGCTTGTTGGTTATGCTTATGCGAATCTTGGAAAAGTAGAGGATGATTACATCTCTACTTCAGGTTTTCTTTTCAAGATGGCAGGAGCAGCTTTTGCTTGGAAGAGTGCTAAACAATCTAGTGTTTTGAGTTCAACCATGTTTTCAAAATACATAGATTGTTATTAAGCCACTTCTCATGCAGTATGGCTAATAAATTTTATTAAAACATTAAGGTGGTGGACTCGATTTCTAGACCAAACAGATATATAGTGACAACTCTGCGGCTTATTTTCACTACATGAATAGCAAGATGTCATCTGGACTTTAGTATATTAATAGAAAATATTTAATAGTGAGGGAGAAGTCATATCAGAACTCAAGATATGATTGCTGATCCATTCACAAAATTTTTGCCTTCAAAAGATTTTCTGAGACATGTTGAAAGAATGAGATTATTTCCTAGCTTTGATGTTGCAATCTAGTGGGAGTCTTGTTCCCATTCTAATATTTTACTAGTTTGTTTATTTTGCTATTTTTTGGATTGAGGGATTTGCATTTAAGGATGTTAATTTGGTTGACAGTTTTATTTATTATTGAATAAATTCTACCATTTTGACTATTTAGCTGTTTAAACTTATTATGCAATTTTGTTTATGCATGTGAGTTTATGGTCTCTTTTGAGATACTATTGTTTTAATAACATTGCGGATTGACTCTTGCTAAGTCATAAAGGGGTACATGTACTAACAAGCATAAAGATTCACATTACGGATCAATACATATTAAGGTTCGTGTTTGTAGGTGCTTCATGTGTTTTTAATAAAGAGAGCAGTGCTTGTCTATAGTTCATTTTGTCTAATCGCTTTTCACTGTAGCTTGAGGGGAAGGACTAATTGTTTTAAACTTATGGCCAATAAAGATTATCAAACCTTTTGGAATACAGGAGCTTAGTGCTCTAGTGCTTGATCTAGTGGGAGAATGTTATGTTTCCTAGTTAGATAGGTGCACTAGATATTAAGTTACACCAGGTTTTGATAAGAGTTTAATTTAGGTTATACCTTGAGATACAAAGATGATCACTCATCAACCAAAGTAGGAAACCAAAAACCCTAACTAGGTTTTCTCCAACACTTAGCTAACACAAAAAGGGCAAGGGGATAGCAGTTGCAAAAATTTTGGGTGGGTATTGGGGCTCCATTTGGTCCATGGGTTATGTCATCTTATGCCACTTATCCCTTGGACCCAATAGCCTTTTGGGCTATTTTGTCCATTTCTTTTTAAATCATATTTAAAAAACCCAATCCAATATTTCTATATGTCAATATTAATTCCATAATTAATTTTTTAATTATAATTTAACTATTGAACTATAATTATAGTCTTACTTAATTGACCCGGTCGAATTATTTGACTTTGGTCAATTGCTCCGGTCAACATGTTGACTTTTGACCGTTGACGTTGACATTTGATTATCAACCATTGACTTGTGTCTCTTCATTTCATTTCTCCTCATTTGTACCTCTAATCCCATTCTTTGGATGTGCAGATCCGAGGGTTTCCTTTAGCAAGTAAGTGGGTTGACTCAACTCTTCAAAGATGATATACGAATTAAATTCCACAATTTAATTCTTCATATTAATAAAGGTTAATTGAAACCTTTTAGGACATCCACAAACCATGGTTGTTGCCTAGCAGCAAGTCACGGTTATCCGAGCTAAATGAGACGTTGTGAACGAACCTATTCAAATTGGAATGACCGTGCAATTGAATCCTTCTCTTATGTCTATACTCCTTATTCACATTATTAGATCATGGAATCTGATTGTTAATATCCTAATGTGAATCATTTCTTTTATATGATTATCCTGATAAGATTTGAAGACTTCTTCTTTCAAGTCTTATCCACTACTCTGCGCAAAGATTTGACCAATCATATCTTGGAGTATTCTTTCTCCTTTACTGAGAGTAGAGATTCCTTGTTGTACATTCATTTGCTTCCATGACTCTATTGAGAATCCTAATGAGCACCTTTAAGCTATGCCTAATTCAGCATGATTGTATAGTGCCCTCAACGATTAACAACATAGCTACAAAACATCTAGGATGCCTCAGGTCTAAAAATTAGTTTGCACCATTGCAATTTATGAGCTCCAGCTTGACATGTGAGTAAAGACTTCCATGTTGTAACTCATGTGTTAGATTGCGTTTAGTGTACTTGTTCTTCTACAAGCACCTACACACATATTGATGTGTCTCCACTTAATGACTTGAGACATTGTCATTCCCTACATATAGAGATGATACTGTGTGTACTAGTCTTTGTGGAATATTGACACCCAATCAATATTCCTATGTCCAGGAACATATTCAGGATTTAGGAATGATGAGAAGTCTCCATGTATGCATCTCATTACATAGCTTTCATATCCACTTGTGTATTCCTTGGACTATGGTTGTTCTACATATTGAAAGATAATATAGGATGATTTAATGTATAAAACAACATTTCTTACCCATTGATAACATAATGTCTTTTATCAAAGATGTCCTTAACTCTAACTATTATATAATTAGTTGGCTTTAAGGGCATATTTCTAACAACTTGTTGCAAGAAAATTCACAATTTTAACAAACCATGGTAATTTAGAAACACCAAACAATTGTTCATCAGGAAATGAGTCTTTTATAGGAAAACATTCAGAAGGCTCCTCAAAAGATATCTTAGAAAGATGGTCTGCAACAACATTCTCCACTTCTCTCTTGTCCTTGATTGTAAGATCAAATTCTTGGAGAAGCAAAATCCATCTAATCAATCGTGATTTGGTTTCCTTCTTTGTCAATAAATACTTCAAGGCCGAATGATCTGTAAAAACAACAATTTGTGAGCCCAAAATATATGATATAAACTTTTCCAATGCAAAAACCACAACAAGCAATTCTTTTTCAGTTGTAGTGTAACTTTTCTGTGCACTATTCAAAGTTCTGCTTTCGGAGCATATAACAACATACTTCTTGTCTTTTCTTTGGCCCCAGCACTGCCCCAATAGCACCATCACTAGCATCACACGTTATTTCAAAGGACATGGACCAATCTGGGGGCTGCATTATTGGAGTTGACGTTAGCATTTTAATTAATTTCTCAAATGCTTCTTGACAGGCAAAAATCCAATCAAATTTAGCATCTTTCTCCAGGAGATTATTCAATGGCCTTGCAATAGCACTAAAATTTTGTATAAATCTCCGACAAAAACCTACATGTCCCAAAAAAGATCTAATATCTTTAACAGTTACAATTAAATCAATTTTTGACTTATCCAATTCAATTCCTTTGTGAGAAACAATGTGTCCAAGTACTATGCCAAATGTGACCATGAATTGGCATTTTTCCCAGTTAAGCACCAAATTTTTCTCCTCACACCCAATAAGAACATTCTCCAAGTTAGATAAACAATTAGAAAATGAATCACCAAACGCAGTAATATCATCCATGAAAACTTCTGAATATTTTTCTACCATGTCACTAAAGATGCTTATCATGCAACGTTGATAATAGTATTTTTTTCTTGATCTTCCAATGAAATCTCAATTTGATAATATCGTAAATAAACATTTAAAAAACAATAATACATATGCTCTGCAACTCTTCCAAAATTTGGTCAAGAAATGGTAAAGGAAAATGATCCTTTCTTGTGACTAAGTTCAATTTGCGGTAATCAATACACATTCTCCATCCAGTAGTGACCCTAGTTGGTACCATTTTTCCATTATAATTTTCAACTAATATGAGTCCTGATTTCTTATGAACAACCTGTGTAGGACTTACCCATTTGCTGTCAGAAATTGGATATATGATACATGCATCCCAAAGTTTAAGTACTTCTTTTTGTACAAATTCTTTCATTGTTGGGTTAAGTCTATATTGAGCCTGCCTAACTGGTTTAGCGTATTCTTCAAGAAAAATTTGGTGTGTGCAAACCAAAGGACTAATACCTTTAATATCATATAAAGTCCATCCAATACCAGTCCTATGATCTTTCAAAACTTTAAGTAACATACTTTCACGCAAAAGCTCTAGTTTAGAAGATATTACCACAGGATAGGTCTTATCTCTTCTCCCGAAAAAGCATATTTAAGTCTAGCAGGAAGAGGCTTCAATTCACACCTTGGGGCTTCTTCTCTTGATGATTTTGTCTCATCACTCACAATTGGCAGCTCCTCATATTTTGGTACCCAACCATTATGTTCTTGTACCTGCGCAGAATCCAAAAAGAACAAAGATATTGTACTTCAAAATCTTGTGCAAAATTACAATCCCCATTTATTAAACAAATTTTCAATGGATTAGAAGAAAAAGAAGAATTAAAGCAATTTTGAACAATTATCTAGATCATGTAAATTTCTTTGTCATCTTCATTGTTTGCAGACTGCTTGCATATGTTGAGCTCCAATGTCATGTTCCCAAATGATAGTTGCATAAGTCCATTCCTGCAATTTATATGAGCATTAGATGTAGCAAGAAATGGTCTTCCAAGAATAATAGGAATTTGAGAACTAGAATGCACAACTAGTTCAGTATCCGAAACTATAAAATCAACTGGAAAATAAATTTGTCTACCTGAACCAACACATCTTCCACCATACCTCTTGGGATTTTAACTGAATGGTCAGCCAATTGCAATGTTACTAAGTTGGGTTTTAATTCACCAAGACCCAATTGCTTATAAACTGAGTAATGCAACAAATTAACACTAGTACCCAAATCCAATAAAGCTTGTTCAATGCTGAAATTTCCAATAATACAAGAAATTGTGGGACAACCTGGATCTTTGTACTTGGGTGGGTGGAGTAATAGTTTGAAGAATTGCACTTACATTTTCAATTAAAAATGCAGTCTTATCAACATTGTGCTTTCTTTTGGTAGTGCATAAATTCTTTAAAAATTTTGAATATGAAGGAATTTGTTTTATAGCATCCAAAAGAGGTATATTGGTTTTCACTTATTCAAAAACCTCCAAAATTTCAGGATTTTGGATTTTATTTACAGCCTTAAGTGCTTGTGGGAATGGAGCAAGAAAAGGGCACTTAACAATTTCAGGAACATTATTTTATTTTTCATAATTTTTGGATTTTTTAAAATTCTTTTATTTTCAACTCTTTCTGAATCATCTTTCCCAATTAGTTTCCCACTACGAAGAGTAGTGACAACCTTCACATGTTCATGCTTATTTTCATTCAAAGAAGAAGAAGAAGGGGTAGCTACCTCTAACTGTGCATGTGGATTGGGTTGGACTTGAGAAAGAAATTTACCCTTTTCTTGAATTGATAGTGAAGAAGTGAGTTTGGAAAGAGTGCTCTTAATCTCACTAATGTCTTGTGGATTTGTGGCAGTTTGGCTTTGCATTAATTGCTTCATAACATCTTCCAAATTTGATGATGATGATGATTGTCCTTCCACCTGTGGAGAATAATAAAAAGAATTAGATTTTTGTTGATGCACGTTATTATTAGTATTATTTCTCCAACTGAAATTTGGGTGGTTTCTCCATCCTAGATTATAAGTTTCAGAAAAAGTGGATGGTTTTTTAAATTGATTCACAAAGTTTGCTTGATCATGCAACATTTCTCTGAAAGCTAGAAGTGTTGGACACTCTTTTGTTACATGTCTCATGACCCCCACAAACTTCACAAATCTAAAAAATTTCTTGACTGCAATTGAATTAACTTTTTGAGGCAATTTTGATTTTAGAGTTTCAACTTTCCTAGCCATTGTTGCCAATTGAGCTTTGAGACTATCTTCCTCCTTAAGGTCATAAATACCGCCATTGGAAGGATTAAGAGAAGATTTTGCCTTTTAGGAATTATGCTCAAATGTGTTGCCAATACTCCAAATCTGAGATTTCTCTACAATTTCATCAAGAAAATCAAAAGCATATTCAAGATCTGTATACAGAAAATTTCCATTGCACATCATCTCAATAAATTGTCAATCTTTAGGTGTTAGGCCATCATAAAAATGACTTACCCACCCTCCATCTTTCAAAACCATGTTGAGGACATAACATTAACAAATCTTTTAATCTTTCCCAAGCCTAAGGTAAAGACTCAATGTCTTTTTGAGAAAATGTGCTCATCTATATTTTCAAAGAATTTGTCTTTTGAATTAGGAAAATTTTCTTGAAAAATCAGTTTGCATTTCAAGCCATGTTCCAATTGTTCTTGGCCTTAGAGAATAAAGCCAAATTTTCGCTTTATCTTTCAGTGAAAATGGAAAAAGTTTTAGCAAAACTGTATCAAGTCTACACCCTTGTGTTGGAAAAGTTCCACAAATTTCCTCAAACTCATGCACATGTGAATATGGATTTTCAGATTCCATTCCATGAAAAGTTGGTAAAAGTTGTATCATGCCTGGTTTAAAATCAAAATTTTGACCATTTAACGGAAAAATGATGCAAGATGGCACACTGGTACGAGCATGATGCAAATAATCATGTAATGTCCTAACAAGTGAATTCTCTTCGTTATGAACACTATAATTCTCATCATTATGAACACTATGATTATCTTCATCATTTTGGGGCATTTCCAATACATTATTATTATTATTGTTCTTAGCCATTTGTGATCAAGTTTGATCAAATTGAGGTCTCTTTGCAAATCTACCAAACCAATCACGATATCTCATAAATAAAATAAAGAAGCAACGGATAAAAAAAAATTTTTTTTTTTTTTTATTTACTAAGACAAAAGCAAACAAAAAACTCCAAAAATAAAAAATAATAAAAAATAATAAAAACATAAATGAAAAATTGAGTTTGATAAGCCTTACCGAATTAACTTTGGAAACTAAAACCGCAAACATCAACAATGAATTTCCTTATGCTACTTTTCGCTTCACCGTTCCCTGGCAACGTCACCAAAAACTTATTGCGTCTACCCAAGTGCAAGTAGTCACACGTAGTAATAATCTTGGAAGTCCAAGTATTGTATCCTCAAGGAGAAGGTAGGCAAATGTCTGCACACAAAGAAATAATTAAACTTACCAAAATGAAAGTGACAAGCAAAATGGAAAAGTAATTTGATTTGATTGTTGTAGAGATTGAGTTTAAAAATGAAATATCAATAAGGCATCAAGGTTCAATTCTTTAAGCAAAATATGTTTCATGCTCTTTAATCCAAATTATAACTCGATTAAAATTATCATTGAGAAACTTTAACCAGAAGATAAAGAAATTAAAACCAATTTAATTTTCCAATGTTAACTTTTATTAATGATTGTTCAGAAAATGGAATTGTTTAATATCTACTCTTTTAATTTAAAAGCATGCTAAGTCAGTTCTTAACAATGAGAAAAATATAATTGAACTCATGAAAAGATAGTAGTACTTAACATCAATCAAAATAAAAGGATATGGAAATATTGAACAACCAAAAATAAAAGAATTTAGCAATTCATACTGTATATTGGATTAAAGAACAATTCATAAACTAACTCAAAGGACATTCCATTTAGCCTTAGCTAGAGTTCTAGCATCTCATTACAAAGGAAAACATAACTAAATTATGAGTGAAATGCATAAAGAAATCTGTCGTGGTGGTCCCCTTGCCAAATAAGTTGATGGGTGATTTATAGTAGTCAATGATGGGTGATTTATAGTAGTCAATGAGGTGAGTGGAAAGTAAATACATTCATGGTGGGTAATGAAGGATTTAAGTGAGGGATTAATTAGATTAAACGTGTGTAGATGGTGGAGAGTTAGTAGAAAAGAAATAACTTCTCAAAGATGGATCGTCCCGGAGCAAAAGCCCCTTGATTTCGAGAGATGCAACTAGAGAGAAGAGGTCTAAAGGCGTTGGATAATAAATTTGGTGATCAGTTTATAGGTGACATTACAAAGATTGACAGGTCTAAATTGTCCTACTTTCTCAGGGTTACTCACTTTAGGAATTAAGGCTATATTAGTATAGTTAATAGATGCCAGGGGTAGATTATTGGCGAAAAACTCATTAACCATGTTCTTTAACATGTGCTTGGTTTTATCCCAAAATTGGTGATAAAACAAGGCATGCATACCATCAGGCCCAGGGGCCTTAAGAGCTCCAATACTCTTAATGGCTGATTCAAGTTCTAAATCAGACACATGAGCTAACAGACAATTATTGTCGCTTGGGGTAGCACAAGGTTTAATGATCTTGGTAAAGTCCTTAATTTGATTATGGTTGGGGGATTAATAGAAGAAAATCTATGTTTGAAGGCAGCAATGAAAGTTTGGATAAGAGTGTCACCTTCTACCCAAAGCCCCCTATTAATGCATTATGTTGTTAAGGGCATCCGCAAGGGTTGTTTAATAGTTCAATGCAATAAAAAAATTAATTGGTCTCTTTTTAAAGATCTCTTTGAGAATATTGCAATGGTACAATTTTTAGTGTTATTAAATTTATCCCTTTTATTTTATTTGAGTATATAAAAAAGCACATAAGTAGATATAATTATTGATATGACGCTATTGAACTATGTCATTGCAAATAAAACTGCAGTTCAATTTAAAAGATGCCAAAAGAGTTTAATTTATTGAACTATTATACAACCATTTTGGATGCTTTAACCTTAGAATTCCCACGCACACGTAGTAGCCCACAAATCTAAAAAGATCATTTGTACTCGTCGGCACCTTAATTCCAAGCACATTAAATTGTATTCAATCACATATCCATCCGTCCTGACCCAAAAAAATATCATATATCCATCCGTTAGCAGTTTTGGTTCCAATCTAGCCCCCCTTTGATTTGGTGTAAGAGTGGTGAACAATCACCAACCAGAGGCCAATAGCGCAATGACATAAGATAACTTTTTCACGTGTTAGTGTTAGTCAGAAATAACAAAACAGTATCATTCCCGTCACATGTAAGTTTTTTTGACAGGGGAGGGATGAGAATAAGAGGGAGAGTTTAGGTGCTCGACAAATTTGACCCTAGAAAACGTGATCATTTCTAACAGAAAACTGAATAGATTCTACCCCATGTATTAACACTGATCCACGGCCATAAACTCCAGCACTCAATTTAATATTTTCCTCAAATACTCAACCATAGCATGGTAGAGGAAGGCGAGAGATTGATAATAATTTAATTAACAAGAATAATAATTAATTTGTTCTCTACAAATGTCAACTTCACCAAACTCCAGGAATAATGCACACAATCACGAGACATCTGAATTTGCAGTCCAAATGCCAGTCAGAGGTTCTCTAGATCTGGGGAGATAACCCAGGAAGCCAGAAGACACCCCCAATGTACAAGGTTGCCAAACCCCATATTAATTTTACACCCAGTAAACAGTCATCATAGGAGTTGCCAGTCATCTTCATGTGCACTTCCGTCTGCATCACTTATGGGCGGGGCCACAAATGAATCATCATTTTGAACCCCACCACTATCATCCAAAACATCACTGTGGTTAACCGGCTTGGGAAAATTATGCGTCTCAGTCACAGTGAACAGCGGAGCACCATTTGATCCATCTGCCAGCTTGGAAGCTCGAAAACAAAAATCATCAAAATCATCTGCAAGCCATGAAAATTTAACAATACTAAGAAAGTATATGTGTTGAACTATTAACTACATAAAAAAAGGTTCCAAAAACTATGAATTCAGCCAAGAGTAACCAGCAAACCTCTGTCACGGCAATAAAATCCTATCGCCAAAGATGGATCAATAGAATCAAGGGGAATGTGCCGTATAACACTGCACAAATTACCAATAGTTAGAAAAATAGTATAACGAAACACTGAAGACAACTAGTCTGAAAGGATCTTACTTGCAGTGGTAAGATAAAGTATCAGCCTCTAAATCATCCCGTCTTATATTGATTGCCTGGCACAACCAGCACCAAAAATCCAGTCAGGCATGAACTTGAAGAGAACTCAAGTAATGATGCAAAACATTATCACCAGTATCAAGCCTAGATAAGAACAAATAAAAACCCTTGTAAAAAGCACATCCTAATAATTAAGATGAGTCCATAGAGAGATGAGTTGGACATTCCCTATCAGCGATGCACTGCATCACACTCAAGTGTTGTAAAGATTGCTGTTACCGTCGCCCATAGTAGCCCAAAATCTGAACACTTGTAAAAAGCACATCCTAATAATTAAGATGAGTCCATAGAGAGATGAGTTGGACATTCCCTATCAGCGATGCACTGTGCCACACTTGAGTACCGCAAAATCTGACCCTGCCCAAAGCTCCTCTCCTTCTACCCCTACTGCATCTTCAAAAAAAAAAATTTGTTTCTTTTCCCCAAATGACCTAATGACAGCTATCACACTTAAACCTTCTGTGTTTGAAATTTGAACAAAATCTTAAACTAGAGGAGTCTGTTGGTTATCGGAACTACCTAATTTCTATTCTTTAGGAATATAATGTGGAAACTTAAACTAACTTGTTTCCTGCTGATTTAAGACTTGTACTGAGATTTGAACAAAACCCTTAACTTGAGGAGTCTGCTTAGTCATTGAAACTGCCTAATTTCTAAATTTTATTTTAAGAGCATAATGCAGGAATTAAATTTAACTTGATTCATGCTGATTTTTACTCTCAAATTTACAATTTCATAATATGGAATGCATGCTGAATGAGTTTCAAAGAGCTTAAATTAATTCTGCAGTTGATCTCAGGTCCTAGTTAGTTTATATCCTACATCAACCCTTCTCTGCATCAAATTCTCTAGGATCTTCTTGTCTAGGTACTGAAGACCCAGAATCCATGTTTTCATTTTCCCCACCTCCATTCGCATTTTCCCTAACCAAAGCAGCAATAGTTTAAGCTATTTTACAATGAAACAATTGTTTCAATCAACTCATTGAGTGCCTTATTGCCTCGAGAAAGCTCAACCCTAGATTAGTTTTTGCATTTGTAATCACTGTACTTGAAGAAATAAAACAAATTTGAAAGAACACAGATTTGATGTACATTAACATGTTTCTTATGTTGATGCTTGGAGTGGCCTTAAGATACTAAAAAGTTTAGCAAACAGAACAGATTTAGAGAACAGTAGATTTAGGATTACATTGAGAAACAGAGAAGAATAAGGAAGATGAAAGAGAAGAAAGTAGAGTAGATATGACAGCACCAAGTCCAACAACACTTCATTTTCATTAATCCAAACCATATTTGGTACAAGAGATGACCTAATTCAAATATTTAGGCTTCAGAAAGTGCTCCCAAATATTCCTGGGAATACTAAAAGTAAAATAATCATTAAAAAAGAAGATAATACTCAAAGACACATCATTAATAGGACTCTTAAAAAAATAATAAATATAATAAATAAATAAATAACAGAGTTGTTGTAAGACCTAAATACATCAACTTTTATGACACTTGATATTTACAGTATAGGGACTCTTTAGCCTATTTCTCTATAAGACTTTCAATTATTCTTTTTATGCCCACCCTTGCACTACTGTGGCCATTTATATTTCGACTAAAAAGGCCTTATTGTTCAATTTGGGCCAACAGGATTAGGCTTCACCTTGGGCCTTCAAAAAGGAAATTTCTTTTCTCACCAAGTTGTTGCTACTGCAACAGATATTATGCCGGATAACAGAGAATAAGGGAGCTCCTATTACATACACTAAGATGGTTCAGTCCATTTTGGACATGTAGAACAACAACCTGGACGTGTACACAAGAGTAACTTGATTCAAGTAGAGGGCATTAGGGGAAGTGGAAGCCCAAAACATTGAAGTAGTTTGAGTGGAGGGACAAGAGATATTCAAAATTCACAACAAATACCACTAGACTACCTTAACCGATTTACCCTTAGCATGAGATATTCAAAATTCATCAAATAATATTCTTTGCCCATAAGACAGGCCTTTGCAACACAGTTTGCTCATTGAATGATGCAAAGGCTATTAGCATTTTATCCAGGTTAAGTACATATCGAGACATTTGAATGAGAAGTAAATTATTAAAAAAATGCCATACCGGCTGAACTTCATGCGGATCAAGGTAAAGTGCTTTTTCATCTTGCACACCTATAATGTAAGTTGATGCACCAGGTTTTCCACCCATGATGCCAAGACTTTGGGGAAAAGTGAATGTCGCCCACAATGATGGAATGTACCTGATAATAATGTTTTTATGAGAAACAATACTTTATTAAAGAGCTTAAAATTACAAAACAAAACGTAGTGCAAAAGACATCGACCAACTGATACCACCCTAAAAAAATGCAAAAATAACGTCGTACATTGTAATACAACTAAACTATCCTACAGCAGTACCTGATAATTAATTAAATCATCCCATTAAGTACCATAAATGGTTGTGAAATTTGGAGTTATGAATTCTCTAATTGTATAATTCCCTATGTCATCTAGGCTGCCAAACTCCAGGTTGACTTTATGGTTCAGTTAGAAAGATAAACATAAAGTTTTAGTAAAGCACTTCCTAAATCAAAATTCTTAATCTAACCAGAAATAAAAAGAGATATTTAGTCATATACCCATTCTTAGCGCTAATGATATAGATAAACCCTATACCATTTAATTTCTATAAACAACCCCAAAAAATGACAGCTGGCCTTATTGAATTTAATTTTGATTATTAAATTACTTTGATGCCCTATTGAGTGTTTTGGTTTTTTTATGAGGTTTTGAGGTTGGGCTTGTTTTAAGAAATTTATGGCAGTTTTGTAATTTATAAGAAGTTAAAAGCCTCTTTGTTATGTCGTAAATGGGCTTCGGGTGTGTTTCTAAAGTCCATTTCATATAGGGTTTTTTTTTTTATTTGAGCCCCTATATTGCGTATAATAGTGAATCTCCCAAATAAAATTTTATATTATAAAAAATAAAAATAAAAATAAAAAAGGCTAACTGGTGCTAACTCAATTTGCTAAACAAAAAATCCAGCGACCAAATATTCCCTAGGTCAGCAAAACGAATCATAATCATCTAGCTACCATGATTAAAAAAGGCACCTGGGGTTGACTTTTTCAAGTCCAAGAACCAAAGGAACCAGTAAAAGAATAGGCGTCCAATCAACCCGACCTCTTGAAAACTCCAAACAATGTCTAGAGGCATCTTGAATGCAGACAACTGGGGCTCCACCCCGTTCCCCATCTTCATCCCCAGATACAATATAAACAGCCATTGGAAGTGGCTGGTTATCAAAGGCAGTTCCTTCTCTCTTACACCGAACTAGAGTCTCCCATGAGCGGCACATGGCATATGGGCCAACCCATGACCCGGCAGCGAGGTCATAAGCCTTTCCAGACTGAAGAAGATTGTGGATAGAGAAAGCTGATCCTTCGGAATCACCAAAATGATGCAGGATCTCAATATATTGTTCATCTAAAGGCTGCATAACAAAGGTATAAAATATATATGTATGTATGTATGACTAATAATTCCAAAATGTGATTCAAGAGCAATAAGTAGATGGATAAGATGTAAACTACAAACAATCCATCTTACCTTGTGCAAGGGTCTTCTCCAAGATCTTCCCAATCTATGGAAAAGCAATGCCTGTAAACATACGCTGTAGTCATTCACTATCTAACCCAAAAGACAGCATGATTACAATGACTGATGCCATGATCAAGAAAGCTTTACAGTAATATTCAGACATATGAAACCTTAACCATGCATGAATGCAAGCACCCAAAAGAAACAATGCTGCACCACACCTGGGCTACAAGCATCTGACTACTCCGAAGCATGCAGCCCCAATTTACGTCACTAGTATACTTTGAATCTCCAATAGCATCAAAACCTAGAGATAAATATGTCAATATTGGTTTTGCTCCAGAAACTTATATGTGCTAAAGTTAAAAATGATGTTTGCAACTCAAACCTTTACGATATGTCATCAAAATTCTTGATGAGAAATCCTGTTCAAATGCTCTTAATCCATTGTTGGTAGCTGCGTCTCCAGAGAACTCATCTTGTGAGACTTTGTAGCGCACACCAAGAAGCCATATGTCACTAGCAGAAGAGATGCCAGTTCTGCTGGATCCAAGTACACGCTCGTGAATCCTCCTCATAGAGCCACCAGTCACAACTTTCCTCACAGCTTCTGTCCATCCATTGTTTCTAGAATGAATTTCCTTCTTTTCAGTATTTGATGACTCACTATGTGTTTCAAAGATTGAGAAAGCAGATGCAAAGAAGTTTGACCACAGGGACACCTTGTCGTGCTTACTGTCCCTAGATCCTGAATCTGAACAAACAGATGACGGACCTCTATCTGTCGACTCTGTTGAACTTTTAGAGGAATATTTCGACGCAACAGCCCTCTCACAAAAACCCTTCATCACCTAGTCATGGAGCAGCATATAATCCTGAAGTTGCTCATAGAAGCAACCTGAGTTTTAAGCATCCATCTCAGTCAAGAAAGTTCCAAAGAAGAACCAAAGGAAACCCGAGATGAATAAAGAAGCATGTTTATGACAAGTTAGACATAGTACATTCAAAGCAACCATATGTGCAATATTCTAGAGGAACTAAGACCCAACTAGCTTAACTTTCAGAAAGTAGAAGAGAAGCAACGAAGGGAAAAAAAAGTAAAAGCGTTCAACTTGACCAAATAATGTTGCATATCCCAAAAGCGTGGGATTGGATCCAGGAAAGACCATATAACTTAAAAAAGAAAAACGAAAAAATATCTTCGATCGTTACAATTTTCAGTTATCATCCTTAAATGCTAAACATATTCAATTGTAGGCCGGAATTTTGAAGAATCCATATAGCGCGAGACAAAGATGCAGAGGAAGCAAGAAAGTATAATTTGCAATTCATGCAAATCATTAATAAGTCATAGAAGAAGAAATTAGGAAAGACATAAATCATGCAAAGCTGAAACAGATAAGAGATTTAGGAAAACAACAAAGGATGGAATTGCCGAGATATCTACCCAATCAATAGAGTCACATCCCATAAGACAGCCCCAATTTCTGAACCCTAGAGAAGCCAAAAGGCGTCATGGCCTCGACCGATTATAATTCAACGACAGAAAACTCCAAAGAAATTTTTTTTGCACAAACAGAGGGAAGAAAAGAAAAACCAAACCTGGTGATCGGTGATGACAATGAAACTGGCTGACCGACAACAGCCCACAAAAACCACGTACCCGGTTTCTGAGTCTATTCTTTAACAGAAACACTGGCACCGAGGGGAAATTCTACTAACTGAAATGAGGGGAAATTTGGAGAGACGGAATTCCAGGGTAAAATTCTCCAACGGGGTGTAGTCAATTAGGATTTTGGAGAGTTTTGAAAAGCTTTTCTAAGTGATAGATTTTGGACAATCTGCTCTCCTCTCTATATCCAACAGATTCCAATGGGTTTTGGAAGATTCTACATGGGCTTTTGGGGAATTCTATTTAGGCCATTCCAACGGGTAAGGGGAAACTCAAATTTTGGGTTTTTAGCCCAGAAATACCTCCCAATGCGTGTGTACAAGGTTTTTGGGCCCAAACTCTTTTTCGGGCGAAATATCAGACTCAATATGAGTCCAACTGGAAATTTGTGGAGCCCAATGACATTCCAGCTCCAATTCACACGAAGCTGCTGTAGAGGGGGGCTCATATCAAGCCATTCTTTTTTGGCCCAAGACCATCAACTAGTGGAAATGCTATAATGAGGGAGTTGTGGGAGGGGTTCAATCCCATTATCAATAAGAGAGAAAATATTGGACTTCAACTTTTTAAATGGTTGGATGGTTGGATTGAACCCCTCACCAAAGTCTCCCTCATTGTAGCATTTTGTTCTCTTTTGAAGGCATTTTTACCAAGACCGAAGCAAGCTGTGCAAGTGGATCCAATCTCAGTTACGTGGTTAGTACCCATTTTATTCATGCAATAAAGGTAGGTGGGTGGGGGTGTGGTTGTGGTGATGGGAGGTAGGTTCGGGTGATGTTGGAAGGGAGGTAGCTGGGGAAAGGGCGTTGGGGCTCTAGTGGGTGCACCATGGACATGTTTGGCCTAAAAGGGAGTTTATGAAATCCACCAAAGTCTATGGAGAAAGGCTAGGACTGTTTATGGCTTAAAATCCACTCTAAATCCCACTAAAATATACTAATTTATGTATGTCCATCAAAGTTCATGACTTAGCTTAATTGTTGATATGTCCCATGTGCTTTACCAAAAATCTTAATTTACCTCATGTACTTGTAATTGGCACACTTTACCCCCTGTGCTTTATGCTCGTGTCCTTTGTTCCCCTATTCCATCTAGTTCCTCATAACAATCGTTAACTCTACTTATGTGGCAGCCACCTGGCGTCAAGTATAGTAACATCTGTCATTTGATAACATTTGAAGATCTATAAAAATTTAGGCTGCTAAAATTGACTATGTTTCCCCAATTTAAGGTTTAGTTTGGTGATGTAGTGCCCTAGAAATTGAAGGCTCATATCAATTAAAGACAAATTGGTCTTCCTCTATTGTGGGTCTTCGTTTCTACTGTTGTAGTCAGTCATCATCAATTGATTAGATGGACACTGTTGAAGGAAGGCATTAGCAGTGTCACTGTGGAAAGCTAGCTAAAATTCAAACTTCGTGGACTAATTCTAACCCAGGAAGGAGATTTCTAGTATTTCCAAACTCGAAGGTAAGAAACTAAAATATAAGATTCTTGATGGGTGGTTTTTTTTTGGAAAATAATAAATGATAAATGTGGTATGGGTTGATGCAGGGAAGACACCAGAGAGGATGTTACTTTTAGGAGTGGTTTGATCCCAAAATTTGTGAACGTTCAAAGATGGCGATACCTGGATTACTAAGGAAGATTGATATATTAGAAGAGGAAAAAGCAAGAGGTTGAGGAAAATCATGAAAAAAGTGGGCTACTATGTTGTTTTCTTTATTTTTGTTTGTTGTCATCAAGTTAGTTTGAAGGTTCATGTTATGAAATGTGTTTAAGAAGCTGTGTTTTGTGAAGTTAATGATGTAACTTGTTTAATGAAGGTTGTATCTGGGTTTTTTCCCTGTTTCATCAATGAAAGTTCATGTTTCACTAAAAAAAAGGATCGGTTGAACCAAAATTGGAAGTTGCACTTTTTTTTTCTTTTTTGGTGTAGGCTTGACACAACAAAGCCAAAGCCAAAGAAACCCAGGCCACAACACAATAAAACCAAAGGCAAAGAAACCCAAGCCACAACACAACAAAGCCAAAGGCAAGGAAACCTAGGCCAAAACATAGCAAAGCCAAGGGCAAAGAAATCCATGACAAACCTACAATAGCATAAACAAACAAAACAACAAGTTTAATCCCATTACAATCAAATGAAATTATCCACCAAATACCAAATAGTCATTGCATAACTTCCAAATGTTGTCATAAGTTCCAAATAATAAATTCCAACAGATTCTTAAATATAAATTCCAAACATAAGTTCCTAAACATAGGGTCTGCAGCAATAACACCCTAATCCACATAAGTTCCAAAATATTTTCAAAATGACAATAGCCCAATTTGCAGCAATAAGATCCTAATCCATAATCTGCAGCTTAAGAAACATATTTTCCACCTTCAAAAACACATAATCTATTTTCCACCTTCAAAAACGCATCTTCCATTTTCCACCTTCAAAAACGCATCCTCCATTTTCCAAAACACACAAGCCATTGCCCCAAACAATTTTCAATTCTTCAAATGTAGTGATTTTCACAAAGTACTTCCTCTGTGCATTTTGTTGTTGATTCTTCCTCTTCTTAGTTTGACCCTCTTGACTTGCATTATGTGAACTTGGCCCTACTTGAATTGGAGGTTGAGAGTTGCATGCTTCTGTTCTTGGCCTTACTTAACTTGCATGTACTTCAATTGGAGGTTGGGATCTACATGCTTCTTTTCTTGGCCTTAATTTCTTGGGATGTGATGCCTCTCCATTAACTTCTTGTTGGGAACTACTACTTTGGGTTCTTGGCCTAAGTGCCATCGTGTTTTTTGTAGCATCTCTCCTTCTCACCTACAAATAAAAAAATTAAAATTTTAACCCAAAAATACAGTTCAAAATTTCCATTATTGTAAGCTTTGGCCTAGAAATCCTCTTCCTAGAAGGCTGAGAGTTTGGGTTCTTTGGCTCCTGAGATATGATTCAGTTAATATTTCAAAATCAAAATCAACTAAATAAATGAGCTTTAAGGGTCAGTTTATACCTTACAACCAAGCTGATTATGTCCTTCTTCACCACAATTCCCACATTTTAATGGGATTCCATATCTTGGAATCTTGTAAGAATAAGTGGATTTTTTAGGTTCATCGGCTGCTTTGTTCCTTGACTTCTTTGGTCTGCCAGGTTGTTTGTGGTATTTGGGAGGCATCAATGGAGGTAAATTAGTCTTCATCCATTGATTCTCACTAGTCATTGGCATAATCATGGGCTCATAGGTTCTCAAATAAGCATCTTTCTTATACTAATCATCAACATAATCCTCAGGGTTCCCATGAAACCTACTAATTGCAACACATGCATCCACACAAGGTAGACCATTAAGATCCCGAGCATTGCATGAACAAGAGTGAGCATTCAAATGAACTGCAAAGCTACATCTACTGTGATGCAATACCTAGAACTTATTCTACCCAGCAGCCTTAGGAATGCACCATTGTGAATTTTCTTTCTTTTTCTCCAAAATTCTTTGTATTCTTGGCCCAACTTCCCCATGTCATTTATCAACTTCAACCCTTCATGATGCCATCAACAACATCAAATAAAGCCTAATTTTTTCTAACATAGTTAATACTGTCTTGTCCCTTGCATCCAATATGCTATTATTAAAGGCCTCACAAAGGTTATTCATAAGAATGTCGCATTTTGATGTAGTCCTTAAATGGGCCCTACTCCAATGGCTAAGTTCTTTTTTCTACTAGCCATTCATGGGCTCTGAGGACAACTCCATTATCTGCCTCATCTCCACATCATACCAAGGAAAGTTGACTTTGCAATGCATTCCATTTGTAATTTCAGAGCACGTCCTTTATGTAGAACCTTGAAGTTTGAATATAAGTGTTTGAAACAGTGTCTTTGCTCTGCATTTGGGAATAAAGTTGCTACAACTTCTAAAAGACCTTTTTACTTGTCAGACATGAACACATAACCATTGCTATTTGCAATTTCCAAATCAGCTACCAACAATTCCAAAAACCACACCCATGAATTGACACTCTCAATCTCTAAATAGACATAATCAATAGGAAACATGTCATTGTTGGCATCAACACCAATAGCAGTAAGCAATTGCCCAGGGTGAGGGCATTTTACTTTAGTGCCATCTAAGCAGATAGCCAGCCTACAACCATCAAAAAAACCCTTCTTGCATGCTGCTAAACATATGTACAACCTCTCAAACCTTGGCCTATCTCCTTCCAATTCAGACTTAATAACGATTGTGATTCTAAGGTTTCTTCTCTTCAACTCATGACAATAGTCCCACAAGGCTTCATATTGATGACTATAAGTTCCCTCAACAATATCCACTGCCAGAGCCCTTGCTCTATACACCAATGACTTACAAGGAGTATAGCCATAGTCTTTGTGCACTTGCTCTACAAATCAAGCAGCTATCCAGTTAGGATTCAGTCCTAATTGCCTAGCATACCTTTCAGCTAATCCTATGTTTTGATATGGTCACCAAATTTCACCCAAGTCAAGGAGACAAAGTTCCAAGAGGCCTAGCCAAGTAAGAAAATGCAACAAACAAATGGCAATAAATAAGTAAATCCAACTAGTTGGGATAAAGGATCAGCCAAGTGAAAAATCAAATTGGAACTTTACCAGTTTATTTTAACAAGTGGCCAAATCTACTTGCAAAATGTTGTTGATAAGGTTCGTGGCTGGTTTGGAATTGGCTGGAGAAGAAGATGGTTGGAGTCTTTTGTTGAGTGGTCTTGAGATTTAGTTGGCTGGAAGTGTATTAAAGAAGCCAACGTTGGTACTTGGGTTGGAATTGAATGGTTGGTAAAATATGTATATACTGATGGAGGTGGTGATTGGCCAATAACCATTCCCAAAACAAATAAAATATTTTAATATGTATGTTGGTCAATGACCTTGCCCAAATGAAGTGTTCTAATGTAATGGCCAAAGAGTTGGCTGGAGAAGTGTTGTTGAGAAGATAGTAGCTGGAGGGGTGCGTGTTTGACAAGCTAAAGTGAGCTGGATTGGTCATGATGTTGTTTTGAATTCCTAACCTGAGGTAAGGTATGTTAAATGACATTCTGACATAAAGAATTTATGATATTAAAATATTAATTGGCCAAGCCAAATGGCCATTTGTGATATTAACATGTAATTGGTATATATATAAAATATATATTTTGATATGGAGGGATAAGAAGTCACGTCACCATGGCTGAGCTTCTTCAAAAAGCCAAATGGCCTAGAGATCTTTATCCAAAAGGTCTGATGAAAGTCGGATGGCTATTTAATGGCCTTATACCATATATATAATAATATATGGATATAATATATTATATATATATTTGTTTATATATATATTTATTTACATATATATATTTGTTTATATATATATTTATTTACATATATATTTATTTATAGATATATATTTGTTTATATATATATATGGTGCAGATGGACTCATTGAAATTCCAAGTCACCCAACATCAATGGATTATGTTCAACCAAAATTAGAGACTTCGGAAGCCACTTCGCTTCATCAGATGTTAAGCCCAAGTTTTGGGAGGTCCAAGCCCGACCCTCGAAAGTAGGCCTAAAAACCTCCGGATGTTGTTATGCACGTGACTAGATCCATCCAAGGAAAGCAATCAAAGAGAATGATGTCAATCTGGAATGATCCTAAGGAGGAGAGAATCAATTGATCAGATTTGCGATTCGATGATATTATTCGAATCAATTCCACAAATTTAGGAAACCACACAAGGAAAGATTTTGAACGAAGCTAACCTTTGACCATTTAATGGCCAGCCCATGGGCTAACTAATGCCCCCATATAAACTACATCAGACAAAGAGCAGAGGGGCCCCGACATCAGACACAAAAACCTACTTTTTGTCTTTCAATTCTATATCCCTATACTAGGTTTTTATTTTCCAAGCAAGTAGACTAGATCAGTTCTTCACTTTCGTTAGTGTAAGTTCAATTTCTTGTACTTTTCATTACGTTGTCTTAAGATTCAATTTTATCGCTTTATTGTTAATTGTTATCGAATTTGCATTAAGCTTAATTTAATTTCAAATTGCTTTATTTTATTGCCTTTATCATTTATATTGTTCTTATTTTGTTCTTCGTTTAATTTAAGTTTATCTATCACTTTGATTTACTTGATCACACTTTAATTCTCGTCTTTAAGTTTAAATCGCCTATTTTAATTTAATTTGCATCATTATCATTAAAAAATCTCAAAAATACTAAAATACCTATATGAAACTTAACCATCCTCGACTTTGAGGAAGTGAAAGAACCTAGGTCAAGAAAAGGTTTCTTGCTTGGCCGATCAATCGGCTGGTTAGAAGTCAGAAGCGCGAACACAACAATCCAACCTTTTCCATTCAAGCCAGTCAGTGGCTTGGTGGTGGCACGCCCACGCAATCTGAAAAAAGAAGGACCAAAAAAACTCCTTCAACCGGCCTACCCGGCTGAAAAGAGGGAAACACCTTATTAATTTCAGGCCTGAAATTCTCACCCTTTGGCATTCTCTTCCTCCTCCTCCTCAAATTAGCAATTGCTTCATCTTCACTAGAAGAGCTACATATGTTACAAGTGTAGGTGAGTCTTCCCTATGGTCTGACTCTTCATCTTCATCTGCCATCAAACCACTTGTCATTATGTTTCAACAAGCACTCCTCAGCTTCACTTTATTCATAATCGCTGTCAACAAAACCAGGATCTTTGATATCATCCTCTTCATCAGCACCTCCACCATCATCAGTCTCAGTACCTTCATCATCAACTTGCTCATATACTTGTTCCTCCAACTATGCCTTTTCCATTTGCTTACCCTCATGTTTGAAATTTATGACTACCACTATGGTATTGATCTTATGAACTGATATCATACAACATAATAGTTTTTCATATGATGATATTTCCATGAGTTTCCTAGAAACCAAGTCATCACCATAAAAGCACACACCACTATCATATCCCACCATTTTAGCCATTCCTCATAGCTCTAATATAGACATGTAGTCTGCCTCACAATAATCAAACCAGCTAACTGAACCACCTAAGTAAGTCTGGCATGTCACTCAAGCCTTTCTCCACTAGTTTGCCTCCATGACAAAACTTAAATGTTACAAGATCATCATAATCTTCATCTGCCAATTACCAAATACCAAACTCACAAATAGTCCATGGAATACATACAAAAAAGGGACCACAAAGCTAGGTCCACAAGCAACAGAAGAATCAGAAAAAGACCACGCAAAACACAAAGACAATAAAAGGACCTCACATGCCTAAAGCCACAAAAAGGAAGAAAGTCACATGCTAAAGACATAAAGAAATAAACATACCAGGTCCGCAAACAGCAGATAGACAATTAAAAATGATAAAGACATAAACAAAGACCTTTGGACCAAAAACAGACATAAACAACAACTAAAAAACTAGCAACACCAAAAGCACATGCCCAAATATCCATAAAAAGAAGTGAAGACTGAAAAACTAGCAACGCTCCAAAACCACACATGTGCAAATCCAGAAAAATAAGTGAAGAAAGACTACAAAACTAGCAATACTCCAAAATCATATGCCTAAATCTAGAAAAGAAAAGAAAAAGTGAAGGATGGGTCCACTTACACACACATTGAACACCTCCAGCTTATCTTAGAATCGTCATCTTCTTGTAGCTTTAAAGTTTAACAACAATCAATATTCAAAGCATGGCCTCAATCTCTAGTAACAATGAGATTCTCTTTCCCGATTTAACTTCCCATTGACTCAATCAATATTCAAAGACAAACAAACACATTGCCTTTCCCTATCTAAAGATTCGCGACCCAATTTCGATAAGTTGGAACCCTATTCCAAGATTCCCATTTTGCAGCTTTACAAATTTTGCCCCAAATGTTAATTGTGAAACCCTACTAGACAATCCAATTAACTAGATGTCCCTTGACAAAAAAAAACAAACAAACAAACAAACAAACTCGATGTCAACAAATGGCTACCACCATTTGCCACGTCGAATGCCCCCATTTGATCCACTTGTTTGAATTTACTAATATACCCATGCCACATAAGTAGAGTTAACGACTGTTGTGAGGAACTAGATGGAATAGGAGAACGAAGGACACATGAATAAAGCATAGGGGGGGTAAAGTGAGCCACTTGCAAATACATGGGGTAAATTGAGATTTTTGGTCAAACACATGAAGCATATCAATAATTAAGCCTTTTAATACACCTAAACTTTTGTGGAGTATTTATAAGTCTAAATTGAATACCCTTATATTTGTAAATCCTACATTGAATACACCTTGAGCGCCACTTGTCAATTCGGCACTTCATTTTTACAATGTTGCAATGCTAGACTCAAAAACATCCACGGTGTAATCTATTAATTAAGACCTTAATTTCTTTATTAAAAAAATACCTTAATTGATGACATGAGAAATGCAAAGTCTTTGATGGCATATATACTAAATTTGGGCCATGTGAACAAGAAAGAACAAATAAAAGAGTTCCAATGTTTAAAAAATCAATAACTAAATTTAAAATATTAATAAATTATGCATAAGTGCCCATGTTTTGTTTTTGTTGATGCCTTTTTCTTCCTCTTATGTCAACCTTTCTTAAGAATGTTGTGGGGAAAGGGAGAAGGTTGGGTCAGCACCAATGCTCCTATTGGATCTCTGGCTCGTGAGAGGACTCGTTCAATTTCAAACAAAATTGAAAGTTGGATCAAGTTGAAAATGGCAGGCCAGCATAGGCTCGGCCCTGGCAACTTGCATCTTCTAGCCCTATTTGTAGTTTGCATAGGCGTGCCACTATTGGAGATGAGACTAGCCCAATAAACCTGGTATAAGCGATGTAGAATGCTTTGTTTGATGAATTTGGGCTTGTTCTAGACCTCTAATCAAGCCATTGTGCTCCAAAGGGGGGGTACTCGCTCGGATGAGTTCTTTTCTATGCCTCAATTAAGAGGACTTCAATATTCTTTCAATCATGCATCTATGGCTTGGAAAGTACGAACAGTACCTAGCCAAACAGAAAAACAAATGATGTGATCAATGTTTCCTTGATTGGGTTTGGAAACCTAATTCGAGCCTAAGATAACCCTAGATTGGGTTAAGACTTAATTAATTCGGGCCCAATGGTATGATTCGGGCCTGAAAAACCCTTGTTTTCTGGCTAAAAAAAGCCCTATACGAATCTAAAAACCCTTGTTCTAGGCCTGTCCAGTAATGAACAGTTATATTATTCTTAAAGTGAAGATTCAAATATAAAAATGCGGGAAAGTAAATTACAGGAAAGTAGGGTATAAAAAAGATAAATGGCAGGAATGTAAAGTGCGAGTTGGTAACAAGTTAAGACAAAAGTTAAAGATTTCTCCATTCAGTTATTTTAAAGAATAAGTTACAATAATGAAGAGATATGAGATTTCTCTATCCAATCCGTTACAAGTTTTAGCTATTTAGAAGAAAACTAGACTAATTGTTTAACAAAGATCATACCAAGAGGATGATAGAGCAGTAAAAGATAAACGCAAGAGTTGTTAACTGGTTATCTGGATACCGAGTTGGTTGTTTGAAAAGCCTGAAGTTTTTTAAAGTGTTTACAAGACGTTGTGTCTGATTTTGGAGTCAGAGTCCTCGAGTGCTACTATTAAGCCTCTATATTTATAGGTAAAAAATCTCATGAGTCGATCTCGTAAGTCAGCTGCAGACCTGTCCTCGTGAGTTGATCCACAGGCAGGAGAAAAGGTATCTCAAATGAAAATATTGGTTTCAAGGGACATCCCTTTGATTTGCCGTCCTTTCGCAACTAGAAAACTAGTCATTTGATCCTCCGAATCATTTGATCCCAGCGCATCAGCAGAATCATCCAGCTCCTCAACCACCTCCTTCAGCGCAGGCGCCGTCTTCACCTTGAACAGCTTCGTCTGCTGCAAGACCTTGTTCATCTTGTAAATCACCAGACGCTCCTCATTGATCAACGTCCCCATTATCTTCGCCGTCACGACTTCCGTCTCCAAGCTAACGACCTCATCGTCATTTTGGACGATGAAATCGAACTTGTTGGCCTTGTTGGTGGGTAGCAAGTTGACGAGGCCGTTTTTATTATTGAGCATCTGGAGGGACTGGTACAAAGGGATGCCGTGGTAGAGCAGCAATGATGCCTCTTGGGATGTCGTTAGGTTTTCGTACTTGGGGAGGAAGTCGTTGATGACGGCGTCTGTCGGGAAAAACACGGTTAGGCCTCCGTCAATGTTGGTCTCAAAGGTCATGTCGGCTCTTGGTTTTGGTGTCAATCAGCCAGCTTGCTTTCTTGCTACGAGAGACGGCGGTCAAGTCATTCTTTATGGTGAAAACCCATCTTCAGGAAGTCAAGCGGGTTAACCTAGAAACAGCTACCCTTTTTCTAACTTTAGTGTGGGTCAAGGAGAAGGTATTTCAAGATATAAGCCTTTGAGTGAATTTTACCAAGTAATGGCTGATGTAAATTTTTTAACACCTGGAAAAGAGTATCCAAAAATCACAAATTAAATTACTCACAAGCGCACAAATCAACAATAGTATAGAGATATGCAAGTACGAGGTCAAATCCACAATGACTGATAAAAACAACTTAATTAATTAAATCACACTAAACCCAATTAAAAGAACGATTGATTGATTTGAGTGATGAATTAAAGAAAACTTAAATTGCAAGAATTAAAAGAAAGAAAAATAAAACACTCAACAAAGATAGAGTTTAAAAGAAATCAAATTATGAAGATTTAAGGTTATGAATCCACCAATGACAATCCTATTTTCTTTTCTTAGAGCCAATTACTATCCAATTATGATACCAATGTTAAAGGTTGTTCTTTCTAAAGTATGAAGTAAGCCTATCAAGGTCATAAATCGTGTATCCTTATATGCAATTCTACCATGTCAGGGTGTTAAAATTTAGCATACAAGAACCCGTTAAGATTAGAAGAATTTAATCAACCAGGTAGGACTAGTGGAAGCATTTCTATCCTAACTATCTACTCTTCTTAATCTTAGTTCCAATAAACCTAGTCGATGGTGTTTCTCTCCTAGATGTATCCAATTATCTAGATGCAAAGTTCCTAGTGGTGATCAAACAATAGGACTTCAAACCTAAAATAAAATTTACACAAAGATTAAGAATTTAACACTGCATATAATTGAATAGAAATCAACTAAATACTTTGGCAAATAATCATGTCACAGCTTCATCATAAACCTTAGAAAGAAATTTAGTTACACATAGTTATAAAAATGAGAAAAGACATAAAATAAAAAAATAAAACCCGGAACATGGTGGTGTGCCCAAAACTATATTCTTCTCTTTAATCTCCACCCCTTTCTTTAGAAACCTCGGGCAATCATATATAGTGCAAAATAACAAACCCCTAATCTCAAAAAGTCTTGTAAAACTCCCCTAAAACAATATCAAAACAATAAACAATTAAGGAAACAAACTAGGAAAGAACCCCTTCTTTCACTGGGAGACACGTCACCTGACTTGCACGAAATCTTTGGTGTTCCACTTCCTAAAAAAATCTGGAAAAATATGATAAATGTAGCTTTATCTCTAAGATTTCCAAAGATAAATTACACATCATTTAGAAAAATCAGGAAGGTCTTCAAATGTTCAATCTCCCATAGCAACACGGTTCTGATGGGATTGCAACTTAGGCTATGTTGACTTGCAATTCTTAAACAATTGGCTACATAAAAAAATTATGAAAATTTGATACAATTATCTTCAATGTCTTAGCTTTCTTCTCCAATTAGCCTTGCACTAAAACTCCTCCGAAAAGTTAATTTTCCTTCAAAAACCTTCTATGAGTGTAGAAAAGCTGAAAATAAGGAAAGTAATGTAATAAGGCTTTTTTTAATCAACTTTCCCTACAAAAACCAAAAATAAAAGGTATAAAAATATAAGAAATAAGGCACTTATCAATGGCCCAAATATAAAAACAAAAGCCCTTTTTGTTGGTTTTGAAAAAATGAAATTGGGCTTGGGTCTAATGTAATTTTAATATTTAAAAAATAAACCAACTTTGGTCCATTTTCCAAATATGGTACAAACATTGCCCCTAGTTTCAATGTGCTTGAGTAAAGCTTATTGAAACTAACTCCTTCACGTCCTTAAGACGTCAAAGCATACCTAAAAATGTATTTTTTTCGAAAGTATCGCGCCAAACTGACAAAAAGCAACTGACATGCCCACGTCTAGCATTAATTTCGGACAGCTGATCAAAACTCTCCAACTTCTTCTTTTTTCGAACTTCATTTTTTCTTTCTGAAAAAACCATCACGAAACTTTCTTCCGAAAAACCTAATCTTGTTGCAACTTTGTTTTTCGAGTTTCTCTAAAAAAAATCTGAAAAATGTCTCCAAAGAAATCGAAAGCTCTTATGGATTCTGCCACCATTCCAGATTGGATTTTGGGACAAGGTGGTGAATAAAACGCCAAGAAATTGCAGGCGGCATTAGAACAAAAGCAAGCGGGCAGCTTGGTAAGGTTCTATTCCAATTTTCCCTTAAATTTGAGAAATCCTCCCAAGACTCCTTTTTTGGGTCCAAACTATCATCATGCCACGCCGGAAGGCTACAGGTTTTGGAAACGCAACTAGTCAGAGCCCCATTTCCTTACGGTTTAGAGGATATAGGGCAACAAACCTAGATAGATTGGGTCTGAACCCAAAGGTGGCCATCTCTGAAGATTATCTGCCCTATAACAAATAGGTAGATGAACTCATGCCCAGATATCGGGGCAGATGGATACAAAATGTGATATACTATGCCACCATGCTATCGAGGCATCAAATTGAGTTTAATGCGCCTCTACTAAATGTTGCCTTGTGCTATTAGGACAACACTTCTAATACCTTTGCCTTCGGGCCAAGCCCAATGACCCCTACCCTTTTCAAGGAATCAAATTTAGACATGGCTACCCTTTTCGGCTTTAGGCCTTGTGGAATGAGCATGGACATCTTGGGGGATGATGAGTCTAAGAACAGTAAGGTTGCGACTCCGATGAAGGCCACAAGGATGAAGATTATGTGCTTGAGAACGTATTCCATATATGTGATGACATATCAAGGGATAGCTGGTGAGGATCAAGAACACATGATGTTCCTGCTCTTTTGGCTGAATGAGTTCATCTTCCCTAAAGCTGAAGAGGAAGTGAAGCCGGAATACATGCACCTGGCAGAAGCTCTAGATAATGAAGTGGGTGTGGCTACAAGGCCATTTATGCTGGCCTTTCCCTATCACTGCCTCCACCAGATCACCATCAATCTGCTGGACCTCAACGTCCATGGTTCAGTTTGGATGGCACAGATATGGCTGGAATGTTATTTCCCTGAGCTTGGGAACGAAGAGCTAAACTTTCTTGAAGACGACATTCCAGCCACAGCGCTGGCCATTAGCCCGAAGAGGCTTGAAAGCACTGAGGAGTGCTTCATCTTCTTTAGAGACTACAAGCAAAGAGAGGAGAGAATCTGGCTGCACTCACTGGCCTACGATCATCCTTGGTTCGAGGATAAGAAATGTCATTATGGGGTGGGAGCGTGTATCCCCAATTCGTCAGCAGACAATTTAGGATGGTCGAGGTGATTCCAGAACTAAGTTATAGTTCTAAGAACAAAGGGAGTTCCTAAAGGAAGATGGATATAACTCCCAAGGAAGTCAGGGTTATAACGTCAGCCTGGAGGACCAGGAGCAAGAGCGTAAAGGTGCCTTCCTATAAGCCAACTCCACTCTACACTTCAGCCTTCCATGAGTTCTAAAAAAATAGGGTCTACTTGTGGCTTCCAGAATCTGCTAAGTTCTCTACGCTACAACCTTCAAGGATTGCCCTTTTTCTTGATTGGTGATAGAGCAAGAGGAGGCATCCATGCTGAGAAGGCTAAAGCATCTTTAGAGACTGGAAGTGATAGGTAATTTCTCACCCTTCAACCAATAGTTTTGGACAAGCCTGGCGGCCATGATGAGGATGGTAAGGATCCTACCAGAATTTTGATATGTTCCCTGTTGGATCATGTTGATTTTGTAATTTTTTCAGCAAATCGATAGACTTCTCCAACTTCTTATCGAGATTCATCAGATGAAGAGGAGGAAGTATGGAGAGGAACAAGAGCTACACCTTCTTCCTCTCAACCCTTTCAGAGGAAACATAAGGCTCCTACTGCTCATGCTTCAGGGATTGAGCCCAAATTCGCTCTAGCAGAAGGTAAGAGCTTATTTTCGAGCCTACTCAAAAAAAATCTATGGCAAGCTCTATGCGAACTAACGTGTATATTCATGTTGTGTTTTCAGAAAGACGTGAAAAGAGGACAAGGGTGGTTTCGCCTTCTAGAGAGGAAAGGGAGCCTAAAACGCCTGCTGTTCTGATAGCTCAGGTAAACTTTCAGACCCTAGACTGGGTCTTCAGTTGTTATTCTTTGTATTTCTTTTCCATGCCCTTTGTTTATAACTAACATTGAATGTTTATCTTTTGCACAGGCAAGGGAAAGAGACGGCTCTAGAGCCTTCCAGCACTGGTAAAAAAATCTCAATTTATAGTGCTGAGTGAATTTGGTGAAAGTGGAAGATGAAGAAGTTCCCACAACATCATAGCAACAATCGGGCCTGAATGTGGATGTAATGGGTGATGCTCCAGGGAAAAAAGCTTCTGAAACTCTAGGCCAAAGTGGCCCTAGTACCTCAACTCCAAAATCCTCAAGTTCTGCTAATTTTACCAGTGTATAAGGAAAGAAGATTCTTTGGGATTTGAGAAGGTCTAATGAAGTCCTTAGTCCTGTGGTGGATAGGCTAAGAGAGTTGTGGAATTTATTCATATCTCCAGATTTCAACCCGGTTCAAAACTCTGATAAACTCTCTAAGGTGCAGCCCCTGCTCATTCAAATTGCACAAGCAAAACCTCACTTGGCCCCAACGTGCCACTCTTTGAATTGCTGGTTAGGCAAAATGTTGAAACACATATTTGTGGTAATATGGCCTCATTTCAACACTTAGGTCAGGTGTTTGAATCCCCTAAAGTGCATATTTTTTCATAATTGTGCTAACACCCAAAATGGTCGGTTCGATAAATTGTCAGTTTGAGAAAAAATGCAAGCCCTAGAGGATACAACCCAACCCCAATTCCATATCCAACCTTGAGGAGAGAGAGCTAGCCATGCACATATATCCAATATGTAGACAACTATGAACTGATGGCCCTCTAAAGTAATCTCGGCCACAATACCTATAATTCATCCACATTAACCATATGAAATATCTAGTAAGTGAACAAATTTCTTCTCTCTTAAAACCAAGGAAACTTTTATTTGTTTTGAACACATGCATGGTGGTCGAGAGAAAAGTGCCAAGCTGAGAAGAATACTTTTTGCAATATCTCTCGGCCATAATACTGCTTCAGAGTTTTCTTCAAGCATTTCCAACAACAACTTCAACAACTTTGGAATGCTAAAATAGGTGAGCCATATCATCAAAACTCTCTTTAACAACCTTGTCAAACTCTTTCATCAAAAGTGCAACCTATTTCTCTCTCTTCAGACTTCGGTTTTTCAAAATATTTAATTTTACTTTGGAAAAACAAAATCTACCTTGAAAATATAAAAAGAGTGCTGCTAAATGAACCCCAAAAATTAACTTAGTACACCCTATTACCAAACTATTTAATGAATTATTAATTTATCGTAATATAAAATTACCAAAAAGGATATATTGAATTATGAACAAATTTAATTTTAACACCTTACTCACCGTATTCAAAGTTTAGGAAACATTAGAAATTCATGCCTGACTTCCAACCCCATAAAAAGGTTATGCCTACTGTTGAGGCCCAAAAAATCCACGGTTGGGCCCGAATAAATTCCTGGCCCAGTACGACACATAACTTGGGAAGAAACCCATTTGGGTATCCAAGAGTTCATAATATACGCTTTCACACGTGCCACGCCAAGCAAATAAGCAACACGCCACACTACAAACTTAAGTGGGCCCAAGCCACGCGAATGCTTGGGGCTTGCTAAGTGGGTTGTGGTATGGATGGTTACGAGTTTTCATGAGGCCCATTGATGAGCCGAGAAATGGAAGTTTTGGGCTACTTGGGAGCCCCGAAACTCAAGCCCATTTCTTGAGCCCAAATATGTGGGTAAGCATAAAGGAGAGAAAATAGCTCATTACCTTAGAAAAGATATCCCATCACTATGGGAAGTTGGCCCATCCCTTTAGTGAACTAGCCTATTACCTTAAAGAATGGCCCAAGTTACCAACAAAATATCTGAAAGTCTCCAGCGCATGGCTAGAGACAAAACCATGACAAAAGCCAAAAGCCACTCACATCTGCAGGTTGCTGGAATCTCCAGCACATGGCCAAATACAAACCCAACGCAAGCCATCAGAAAAACCAAGGGATACTTGAGTAAAACACCCTTCAAACTAGTGTACATACCCATTTCTTTCCCCCCATCAGATCTAGCCATAGAAGAGGGGAGAAAATAAGGAAGAAAAATGGCTAAAAATAGGAGTCTCCCACTGAAACAGCTGCGAGAAAGGGGGCCTTGAGCTCCCAAAAATTCCTGATTTTGTGCAAATGGGCAGAGTGGATTTCACCACAATAGGATGATTGAAGAGATGAGGGGAGAAATGAAGGGAAAGACTTGGCCAAATTAGATAGAAACCATTAGGGTTTCTTGGAAAAGAGTAGCTTCCAGCGCCTATAAAAAAAGGCATTTCCTACCCATCATCACAACACACATCTGGAGAGCAAGCTTTATCTCTCTTACTTCCAAAACTCTGCAATTTCGTGCTCAGTTCATCTTCCTCCTCCTTAGTTTTCCCTCTTAGCAGATTGTTCTAACACTTGACAGAGCCTCTGTCAAGCTGCCGGAAAAACACTCATTGCCTTCATCTCTCTCCCCCTCTCTCTCCTCAACGAATCCTCTTAGAATCCCTTCCCCCATGCCTTAAAAACTCTGTTTCTCATAGGAAATCGCAGCCATTTCTCTCTCTCATGCTAAACTCATGAATGCTCAGCTCCCATGCCACAAGCTTCTCATGTCAAGCCAAGAATTTATCTGTAAGATGTTATTTTTGTTGGTAAAAGTAACCAAGGTTTTTCCTAAGGCATCTATGTCCTTTTGAAGCATTTTTGGGGCTTGATCTTCGAACTCAGGCTCAGGGGGCAATTTCATCCATTTTGCTATTTACGGCAGCCCAGGCCCGTAGCAGCTGCTAGAAGAAAAAGCTCCTACACCTACTAATAAAGGAAGAAAAGTACCCTCCACGTCTGTGCCAAATTCTTCAAATAATATTTACTATACATTTCTTATATACTGCATTGATCATAAGGGTTTGAAAATAAGGTTGGAGAAGCGAAGAACCGATAGGTTTTCCACAAGCCCCTTGCCCAGATAATGGCATGTCTTGTTAACAACAATAACAACAACAAAAAAACCTTATTATTAGATTATGGTCCATATTCATTGCATGACCAAAACCAACCGGGTTCAAAAAACTCTACTTGAATATTTGATCCTTTTCTAGGTACTGCTTGAGGGCCTTGGTCAAAGGAGCAAAGGATTCTAAATCTTGACCAAAGGGTTTCTCAACAATGACCCTGGTCCAGCCATTACCAGATGAGGGTGATGAGCTAGCCAAACGCGAAAAAAGAATGGGTTTGGTGTTATGTAATAGAGTGTATTAGGGTGTACGAAAGATTTTTTTAGGTAGTTAAATAGGGTGTACTTAGTTAATTTTACATTTTGATTTAAATATTAGGGTGTACTTAGATCATAGGGTGTACTCAATTAATTTTAAGGTTTGTTTAGCAACACTATATTAAAAACATGCACCTTTTCTTTTATGAGATGGGCGATAATATACTAAACTCACACACACTACACGGATGCTAGGATTCAAACTCAAAACCTTTTTATGTGAGAGCAATTGCTCCAAACCACTACATTAGTGAGTCTTTTGCATTGAGGCATAAATTATTAAAATAAAGAAACCTTTTCAAATTGCCACATAGGTCAACAAACTTTAATTTGCTACTAGAAATACTCATTTACTTATTAGATTTCGTATACCAATTCATTACTTTCTCCATTAATAAGTTCTCTAATTTTTTACATCTTAATTCCTAGTAAATAAACATACCTGATACCATGCTAGTACACGGTATGCTTTACCATGCTAGTATATATACAGTACCCTTCACTAGGGATAGGCATTGAGATCACAAAACCGATAGAAAACTCAATAAAAAGTCAAAAAACCAAACTGGACTGGTTCCAACTAATTCCAGTGCCGGTTTTACACCTAAGAAAATCATCTAGCCCTACAAGCCTTATCCCAATCGAGTTTAGTTTCGTTTAGTATTTTTTAAATAATCCAGTCGTATAGGCCTTATTTTCAAAGCTTAAAATCATTTAAGTTGAAGAGTCCAAATGCAAGCCCATCTCTTTTTTCCTTTCCCTTTTCTTTTTCCTCTCTCTCTCTCTCTCTCTCTCTCTCTCTCTCTCTCTCTCTCTCTTTTGGGCAGCAATAAATTTAGCACATATCCATCCATTTATTGTCAATTTATCAAAAATTTCCTCGATAATTTCAGTAACGATATTTTGTTCAAGTGGAAAATGGTCAATATATCGCGATATGAACATAATTACTTATTGTTCTATATTGTTGATCAATCACTTAATTACTTAATATCATTTATTTCTTTCCTATTTAATCCATTTAACGTTAGTGGTTATTTTATTATTCATTATAAGTACTTACATTACTCAATTTTCCTTCAAAATGTTATTTAATTACTTAAATCTCTATAATCTTTTTTTATTTATTTCCTATTTAATTCTTCCTTGGATAACTTTATTTATGTTCTTAGTTAATTTTCAATCTTCACTATTATTTTTTAGGGAGCTTCACTAATATACCCAAAATAGAGGCTGAAATTATAAATAAACTAGCCCCTTGGCACATGTTGATGCATGTGCCAATTGGTTTTCTTTTTTATTTTAGAATTAAGAAAAAATAACATGGGTAGTTATATTCTATAAAAGTAGGACCTATTATCTGATGTTATTTTTAATTTTAATTTTTTTAATATGAAAAATGTGAATTTGCCATATTATCCTTATTTAATTAATAATTTTAATTCTTAGTGTTTGAATTAACCAATGGCATTTTCTGGTATTTTGAATATTTCACTATTCTCTGCCTTTAAATTTTAATTTTTTTATTATGAAAAATGTGAATTTACCATATTATCCTCATTTAATTAATAATTTCACTTTTTAATGTTTGAATTAACCAAGGCCATTTTTTGGTATTTTGAATGTTTCACCATACTTTGTCTTTTACTTTATATATATAGATAAACCCCTACATGGAATGCACTTTAGATTCACACCCAAAATCCATTTACTACATAAGATATTGGTGTTGAAGTTCCTATAAATTACATGACTGCCACTGATCAACTTAAAAAGAGCCCAAAACAAAAAAAACTAGCCTAACCCAATTTTATAGAATATAAAAAAAGCCAGAACAATTCATTACAAAGAAAACATCTTGAAACTGTAGATTCATTAACGCGTCTTGTTGATTAATGGCTGTAATGTTTCACACATTTACTGTCATGTTGATTAATGAATGTAATGTTCTAGTCTAGAATAATAACACTGCGAGTTTCCTATGACATCCTATTTCTAATGCATGTCTACCCGTATAATGTTTCAATCTAAGGTAATAACATTGCTAATTTTCTATGACATCTTGTTTCTAATGGATGTCTACCCCTGTAATGTTCCAGTATATGGTAATAGCACTGCTAGTTTCCTATGACATCCTGATTCTAATGCATGTCAACCCCTGTAATGTTCTAGTCTAGGGTAATAATACTGCTAGTTTTCTATGACATCCTATTTCTAATGCATGTCTGCTCCTGTAATATTCCAGTATATGGTAATAACACTGCTAGTTTACTGTCATGTTGATTGTCTATCATGTTGCTATTTATAATGCATGTCTACCAAAGAAATGATGAAGAAAGAACAAACCAGACAAACTCAAAATAAGCCCGAGTTTTTTATTTTTTTTTTTTTTGAAACAATTTATTTTAAAAAAAAATTCACGAAAACCAAGTAGGGGCTCTTCAAAGAAGTACATTGTTAATACTATGTCATAGAAGTACATTATCAATACTATGTCAGAAGTACATTGTTAATACTATGTCAGATGTACATTGTTAATAATATGTCATTGAACTATCTTGTTAATACTACTATATCATAGAAGTACATTATTAATACTTTGTCATAGAAGTGCATTATTAATACTCTGTCATAGAACTATATTATTAATACTTTGTCATAGAAGTACATTGCTAAACAAAAATGAAATCCATAACTGAAATAGCAACAAAAGATAAATCGATCATCAAATCTTAAAATATATTCTGAAAATCAACTAAAATCCAAAGACAAACACATAATCGAAGCAAATAAGCCTTTTGAAAATCTTAAAACTGAACATGATGGTTTGGTTTGGGTTTAGGCCAAAACCAACCCATTTGGCATGTGCATGGTTTCATGTGGGCCCATTAAACCAGGTTGTGTGTGGAACCCACCACACCCTTAGGCAATTGTTTCCCTCTCCTCCAATTGTAATGTAAAAATTGGTCGAGATTGGTTCCGCTTAGAATCATTTTAATGTATACTAGCCTCTTCACACGCGCTTTCGCACATGCGAGATGCTTTTTTTAAAAAAATTTAAATTTAGGGTAAACTACAGTAAATCCCCAACCTATAGGGTAATTTACGAGTCCATACCCGATTTTGGGGACATTTATGGGTACATACTCAACGTCGCGAAAAACCTATAAATTGCCCCCTCCGTTAGCGAAACTGTTAGTCAGTTTGTTAAATGCTGACGTGTCAAAAATGGGACCCTTTTTTCTGATGACGTGGACTTCCACGTGGATAAAAATGAATAAAAAATTATTTTAGAATTATTTTAAAAAATCTCTCTCTCTCCATAGCCTCTACCACCAAACCCTCCTCCGTCTGATCCACCTGTACCACCAAACCTAAACCCAACAGCCACGCCTCCCCCAACCACAAACCGTGGAGCTGCTCCTTGTCGATTCAAACTCCGACGTTGACGTCGCATACTACCAAGACAAGGGGTCTTCAACTTCCAAGCCTAAGGGCTCGCATCGTTCACAGCTACCGAAATTTCGCCGACGAGGAAGCTGGAAAATCTCCAGCCACTGCCATCCTCGAAAATATCCAGGAGTTGCCATTCACTCGATGCCGAAAGCTGACGACGAAGCACCGGAGAAAATGGAGGTCGCGACCAAGCTAGATCGAGGGCTTTCCCGATGTTTTCTTATGAAAATTCAAAACAGAAGAGTGCCTAATAAGACAAGTTATTTACAATTAGTGGAGAATTTCTTCAATGAAATTAAACCCATATGCTGGATTGTGGCAAATTGCCATGGAAAAGTAGGTGAACCCTCAGCTGTAGATTCCGAAATTGCTCCTAAACTAGTTCCCTACCAACCAAAGATATGTTTCTGCTGTTTGAGAATTATTCTCTTTCTAGGCAAAGTTGATTGTGCGATGGTGGTTTAATTTTGAGGTATTGGAATCTTATAGGAGGGGGGAGAAAGAGAGTTGGGTTTGGGCGTCATCAATGGGCGTGGGGTGGTTGAGAGGTGGGGTTGAGTCGGGAGGGAGAGAGGATTGGCGTGGAGATGGCTGGGTGGTTCTTTGGGCAGCGACGGGAGAGTGGTGGTTGAGAGGTCGGGTTGAATTGGGAAGGAGAGAGGGTTGGCTGGAGAAGAGAGATGGGAATTTTTTTTAAATTTTTTTATAAATTTTTTAATGCTTTTAATATGATTTAAACAGTAAACTAATTTTTATTAATTTTTAATCCACGTGGAAGTCCACGTCATCAGAAAAAATTGTCTCATTTTTGACACATCAGCATTTAACAGATTGACTAACAATTTCGCTAACGGAAAGGGCAATCTGTAGGTTTTCCGCGACGTTGAGTATGTACCCACAAATGTCCCCAAAATCGGGTATGGACTTGTAAATTACCCTATAGGTTGGGGGGGGTTTACTGTAGTTTACCCTTAAATTTATTTTAGAATTAAAAAAGATAATGGGTAGTGTTCCATAAAAATAGGATCTATTATCTGATTTTTCTTTTAATTCTAATTTTTTTAAATATGAAAAAGTGTGAACTTACCATATTATCCTCATTTAATTAATAATTTCAATTCTTAATGTTTGCATTAACCAAGGGTATTTTCTGGTATTTTAAATGTTTTGTCATTCTCTGCGTTTTTTACGTTATATATATATATATAAATATAATCGGTCTCGTGTTTGATTTTTATTTTTTATTATTACAAGCAATATTGGGAAAATGATTATTTGAGCACTGAACTTCATGTTGTCCCAAAAAATAATAAATAATAAAAACAGAGAACTTCATGTGCATGGATAATTACTCTTAACCAATTGAGTTACAAGCTCCTTGTAGTTTTGAAAATCTTAAAACTGAACATGGCAGTTCGGTTTGTGGGTTAGGCCAAAACCAGCCCGTCCGACCTGTGCCTAACCTTAGTTTTACGTTTCTGAATTTAGATCTTCCCATTAGAGACGCTGGCCTGTGTGCAATATCAGTGGGGGTAAAAGTTGGTATTGGTAACAGTACATGACAACAATATTGTTTTTCTCCTGCACATTACACAAATTGGAGGATAGAGGGTTAACTCGTCTTTGGTACAAAATGCACTCCAATTGTTCTTTCCTTTAGATTCAAGCATCAAAACAAAAGAAAACTCCAAGACCATGATCTAAATTTCTATCATAGACGAAAAAATATATCAGAATATTCCATCTCTCAGAAGCGAAAGACAAATGGAAATATAACTGTCTGCTCCCAATCTTTGACCGTTTGAATTTAGAAAGATATCAAGTAGCCTCAATCCGTTTGTTGCAACAGGAAGTGGAAGTCCGATCTTTGTTGGAGGATGGCTGGCGGATTCATATCAGATAGGCTGATATCATCAAAGGATCTGCACATCTCTTCAATAGAGAAAGGTATGCTGCAAACCAATTTTGCAACGCTATCTTCAGTTAATTTTTACCATGCTATAGAGTCGGGGCTGAATTCAATACATTACCAGGTTTAGAAGTTAATGACTAGAATATTACCTGGAATCAGCGTCGAGCAGGAAAGAATTATTGGGCATGTTGATTGAATCCTCTGCCATCAACACTCTCATTTTGCCAATAACCTAATGCAACAAATCCCCGGAAAGAGAAACAATGGGATACATAGTTAACTGCGTATTCTAACATGCTCATTACAAATCAATTTACTGAACACTCACTTCTGCAGATAATCCCTGCGCTCCATATTTGTCGTCCCAGAACATTGTTCCAATGCGATATATTTGAGGGATGCTCAGTATCTGATTAATGAAGTGTAAACTAAATTAACAGGAAGTCCTAGGTTCATTATATTGGAATTCTTTGATCATATTCCTTGTTCTCTTTCTGAAATAATGTTACAAAAGTTTGGCCAAAGAAAAAAAAGAACTTTTGCAGAATGGATTCAATCTCCAAAATGAAAATAAAAGATTAAAAAAAGTGAAGAGGAGAACTAAAATAAAGAATTTCTTTCATATGATATAAGACTGGTGGAGTTACCGGACACAATTCATTTGTGATTTCATCCACTGATTTCTGAGTTTTTTGGTGTAAAACCTGCATGTATGAAGAATACTTTCATAAAGCAATGTAAATTCCTTCACGTAATTATTTAAGAAAATAACAACGGAATATTGGCTTGGTAATGTAAGCTCAAGAAACAAACCAAAAATCCTACAGCCTGCCTTATGTGTTGAAGCTCTTCCAAGGACGATCCAGCAAACTGTAAAAGTAGAAAAGTAATAAATAAGTAAATAATTTTTCCTCATTTCCTCCTTATATTATTTTGTCAGCATTTGTTAGACCACAGACAGTTTTCTTGCCTGATCTGTTACTTTGAGACACCATTGTTCCAATTCAAGCAAACCTGCTTTCAGAAATTCTCCATTGCTAAATGAGCAGCACTCACGACGAAGCAATAAGCTGCCACCAAAGATTTATTAAATTCATTAGGACTAATGATGCATTGTAGCTAAACTTTGATCCTAGTCAATTTGTTAAAGCAAGGAGTGGATATCAAACTCTGTTTACCTGTTAAAGAGCTGGACATTGATGAATGAGAAAACTTGACTGAAGATTTTCCTTGCGATCATGGGAGAGACCTGAAGTTACAGCAGTTAACTCTAGAAATTCTTTATACTGATTTATATAATAGATGGATAAGAATCTTGAAAATTAAATTAAATTTAAGCTTACATGGTTCACAGACAAAATACCCAAGGTTTGATCTAACTTGTTGACAGTGCTTTGCCAGTGCATATTTGATGCCTGTTGTCTTGCTCTTATGTTTGAATGTATAGTTTTAGATGAGCCTCTTATCGACCTGCCCCTTGCAGATCTTGGTGCCTGTTGATGTTAAATAAGAACTTTTTCATGGTTCAATCTGTCATGTCATATTCTCGGTTATACAAGATGCTCACCTGAATGCACAAATTCAAGAATGGGCTAATCTCTTTCTTTAGACTATCACGGATGGTCCCATATATTTTCTCAACAAATGCAGTTAGATGTTGCTTGAACAATAATGCTGGGTACTTAGCCTCCACTTTTAATTGCTCATTTGGCTTTCCCATCGTTCCACTGTAGCCACTTGAAACTCCCGTGCTCATAGAAGATGAACGAAAACCCTGGCATAGTATTTCTTGCATTACTGTGTCACATGGTTTTCAATATGCTAAAAAATTTGTACGTGAAGCTTACATGTGCCATTCTACCAAATATGGTAGCAGGAGTTCGGTTACGATATGAAGCTGTATTAGATGCACTGGCTGCCTTGAGCGTACTTTGTAGAAGAAATAGAAGGGTAGAAGTTGTTGAAAGCCAATATGCCAGATCACTGACATTGTTTTGAGTCTTCAAGAACATTTCACATTTCATATTGAGTTAATCAAATAGTATAAATACCCCCATCCAACTGGTCAAGCTTAATGCATGTTGGTTGAAGGTTAATACCTCTATAATGGACCGAATTTTGTGAATGATCCTATCAAATACGTTTGTTTTCTCTGCTTCAAAGGTTCTCCACTGAAGAAGTGCTCTGTACACAATACAGGCAGTGACAGGCCTGTTCTTGTCAAATTGCCTATCTTCCATAAGACACTTAACAAGCACGTCAACACTTTCCTGTTTATAGTTGTAGTGAGTTATGGAAGAAGCTTTTTAAAATAATAATAATAATCTCAACTTTATAAATACCTGCTGCCTATCTGTGAGTGATCTTTGTCTACTAAGGTGAGACACTACAGGATCTGGCTCCTGAAAACATAATTTCATTATAGGTTGATGATAAGTTTATAACAGATGATAATTAAAGTATCTTATGATTATTTGAAATATTTCTGACAATAATTTATTCTGGAAAGTTGGTAATACTTTGGTCCGAAGCTCTTCCCTTTTCCCGTTCCCATTCTCAAAAGGCTGTACCATCATAGAATGTCAAAGGAAGTAATTTTACCAAAAAAGAAGATGAAAGAAGAAAAGTTTATTTTTTATCTTTTGGTATGGGAAGAAAAAGGTTATGCAAAGCACTATACCGTTACTTGTGGCTGAAACCTCTCTGGAGTAGCTTTCTGCTCCATGACTAGAGTCTTGTTGCGGAGGAATTTATTCTCTGACTCCAACTCTGCGATCTTCCTCTTCAGGCTGGACAAACATGAATACTTAGCTTGTACTCAATGGGTAGTTGGATATCTTTGTAACTTTGATGAAGTAATATTCCAGTTGAATATCCATTTATTTGGTGCTTCTACCATAATAAGCAGCTGTTTATGAGTATGATTCATTTATAGGTCAAATTGTTCATATTTAGATTGAGCAACCATAATGAACTCAGTAGCTACGATAAAGCAACCACTTGTATTTTTCTTCCATATCTCCAAAACTGTTGTTCAAGCATAAGATAGTAAAAATAGGTTTCTAAGGTTCCACCTATCAATGAAGTGAAAACTTTTACTAGATTGCACATTCTTACATTCTCATTTCTTCAGAGAAGTCCTCATTTGCTGATGCAACCAGAGCCTGTTGGCGGAGCACCTGATTTTCAGATTCGAGACTGGACAAGTTCAACTCTAACCTGATTAAGAAACAAGAGTTAGTCAACCCCAGTTTATGTTGATAGAGACATTCATGAAATTCCTTAGCGTTGATAACAAAAATAAAAAAGCAAATATATGGGACTACCTTTCAATAGTTTCTTGAAGCTGTCTTGCTTTCAGCTGTGCTTCTTCTGCCTCTTTATGCCTTGCTTTACTTTCTTTTTCAACTTGAGAGTAATTTTCTTCAAATCCCTCAATTTCCTTCTTCAGCTCACTTAGCTCACCCTAACATTCATACCAATAATCAATATAACACGTGCACATGCACCACACATGCACCCACTACATATGCTTTCTGTTCTTTTAATGCCTCTCTCTATCTATCTATCTATTGATTTATCTTATTTATTTATCTTTTCGTTGTACACCACTCTTTGGACCAAAAAGACGACATTGTTAGACATTTTACGAAAGAACCACACTGTTAGACATGAGCCCACAGGCTTAATTTTGGGCTTCTAAAAAAGATGTCCCTTCAAACCTAGTTGTTTCTACTGTATGAATATTTCACAGGAATAGTTCATATATTCTTAATTCCACGATA